ATCTCTCTGGCGTGTGACCTGGGGGTCACGTGATATCCCACTAGCGAAGTCCGCTAAGGGACTACGCACCATGACGTAGAATAGTATTATTAGAAAGGACTAGTTACAAGATTATTGAATGACACATGTTTGACATATAGATCCAAGATGGCGCCTCGTACCTTTTGTTTTTACTTTTTAACTGTGCATCTGGCTGTTCCTACACCCGTGAGGAACTTATGAACATCCGACCCACCGTCCCCATGGACCTATTGCCTGTTTTCTTGGCATCTGCGGCTGATTTAGTCCATGTTCTAGCCAAAAAAGTGTGGTCCCGTAAAAGGGGAAAGCGTGGAGGCTGCTCGTGGGTCTGAGGAGGAGAGGAGCCTCTCCCCGGCATTTTTCTGTCCAACGTACGCTCACTGGGCAATAAGACGAACTCAGCCTGCTCATGAGAAGAAACAAGGACTTCATCCTGTGTCCTCTGCTTCACTGAGACCTGGTGTCCTCTGTGTCCTCTGCTTCACTGAGACCTGGTGTCCTCTGTGTCCTCTGCTTCACTGAGACCTGGTGTCCTCTGTGTCCTCTGCTTCACTGAGACCTGGTGTCCTCTGTGTCCTCTGCTTCACTGAGACCTGGTGTCCTCTGTGTCCTCTGCTTCACTGAGACCTGGTGTCCTCTGTGTCCTCTGCTTCACTGAGACCTGGTGTCCTCTGTGTCCTCTGCTTCACTGAGACCTGGTGTCCTCTGTGTCCTCTGCTTCACTGAGACCTGGTGTCCTCTGTGTCCTCTGCTTCACTGAGACCTGGTGTCCTCTGTGTCCTCTGCTTCACTGAGACCTGGTGTCCTCTGTGTCCTCTGCTTCACTGAGACCTGGTGTCCTCTGTGTCCTCTGCTTCACAGAGACCTGGTGTCCTCTGTGTCCTCTGCTTCACTGAGACCTGGTGTCCTCTGTGTCCTCTGCTTCACTGAGACCTGGTGTCCTCTGTGTCCTCTGCTTCACTGAGACCTGGTGTCCTCTGTGTCCTCTGCTTCACAGAGACCTGGTGTCCTCTGTGTCCTCTGCTTCACTGAGACCTGGTGTCCTCTGTGTCCTCTGCTTCACTGAGACCTGGTGTCCTCTGTGTCCTCTGCTTCACTGAGACCTGGTGTCCTCTGTGTCCTCTGCTTCACTGAGACCTGGTGTCCTCTGTGTCCTCTGCTTCACTGAGACCTGGTGTCCTCTGTGTCCTCTGCTTCACTGAGACCTGGTGTCCTCTGTGTCCTCTGCTTCACTGAGACCTGGTGTCCTCTGTGTCCTCTGCTTCACTGAGACCTGGTGTCCTCTGTGTCCTCTGCTTCACTGAGACCTGGTGTCCTCTGTGTCCTCTGCTTCACTGAGACCTGGTGTCCTCTGTGTCCTCTGCTTCACTGAGACCTGGTGTCCTCTGTGTCCTCTGCTTCACTGAGACCTGGTGTCCTCTGTGTCCTCTGCTTCACTGAGACCTGGTGTCCTCTGTGTCCTCTGCTTCACTGAGACCTGGTGTCCTCTGTGTCCTCTGCTTCACTGAGACCTGGTGTCCTCTGCTTCACTGAGACCTGGTGTCCTCTGTGTCCTCTGCTTCACTGAGACCTGGTGTCCTCTGTGTCCTCTGCTTCACTGAGACCTGGTGTCCTCTGTGTCCTCTGCTTCACTGAGACCTGGTGTCCTCTGTGTCCTCTGCTTCACTGAGACCTGGTGTCCTCTGTGTCCTCTGCTTCACTGAGACCTGGTGTCCTCTGTGTCCTCTGCTTCACTGAGACCTGGTGTCCTCTGTGTCCTCTGCTTCACTGAGACCTGGTGTCCTCTGTGTCCTCTGCTTCACTGAGACCTGGTGTCCTCTGTGTCCTCTGCTTCACTGAGACCTGGTGTCCTCTGTGTCCTCTGCTTCACTGAGACCTGGTGTCCTCTGTGTCCTCTGCTTCACAGAGACCTGGTGTCCTCTGTGTCCTCTGCTTCACTGAGACCTGGTGTCCTCTGTGTCCTCTGCTTCACTGAGACCTGGTGTCCTCTGTGTCCTCTGCTTCACTGAGACCTGGTGTCCTCTGTGTCCTCTGCTTCACTGAGACCTGGTGTCCTCTGTGTCCTCTGCTTCACTGAGACCTGGTGTCCTATGTGTCCTCTGCTTCACTGAGACCTGGTGTCCTCTGTGTCCTCTGCTTCACTGAGACCTGGTGTCCTCTGTGTCCTCTGCTTCACTGAGACCTGGTGTCCTCTGTGTCCTCTGCTTCACTGAGACCTGGTGTCCTCTGTGTCCTCTGCTTCACTGAGACCTGGTGTCCTCTGTGTCCTCTGCTTCACTGAGACCTGGTGTCCTCTGTGTCCTCTGCTTCACTGAGACCTGGTGTCCTCTGTGTCCTCTGCTTCACTGAGACCTGGTGTCCTCTGTGTCCTCTGCTTCACTGAGACCTGGTGTCCTCTGTGTCCTCTGCTTCACTGAGACCTGGTGTCCTCTGTGTCCTCTGCTTCACTGAGACCTGGTGTCCTCTGTGTCCTCTGCTTCACTGAGACCTGGTGTCCTCTGCTTCACTGAGACCTGGTGTCCTCTGTGTCCTCTGCTTCACTGAGACCTGGTGTCCTCTGTGTCCTCTGCTTCACTGAGACCTGGTGTCCTCTGTGTCCTCTGCTTCACTGAGACCTGGTGTCCTCTGTGTCCTCTGCTTCACTGAGACCTGGTGTCCTCTGTGTCCTCTGCTTCACTGAGACCTGGTGTCCTCTGTGTCCTCTGCTTCACTGAGACCTGGTGTCCTCTGTGTCCTCTGCTTCACTGAGACCTGGTGTCCTCTGTGTCCTCTGCTTCACTGAGACCTGGTGTCCTCTGTGTCCTCTGCTTCACAGAGACCTGGTGTCCTCTGTGTCCTCTGCTTCACTGAGACCTGGTGTCCTCTGTGTCCTCTGCTTCACTGAGACCTGGTGTCCTCTGTGTCCTCTGCTTCACAGTGATCTCCAAGCACTGCTCTCCTGCTCTGGAATATCTTTTCATTCATTGTAAACCAACCAGAGCAAGTACTGTGTATGGAACGTTTATACCCGGACTCTCTGATTATTATCCTGGGGGATTTTAATAAGGGAAACTTGAGCCAGGAATTACCCAAATACAGACAGTTTATCAAATGCCCGACCAGAGAGGAGAACACTCTGGATCACTGTTACACCACCGTGCGCGGAGCTTTTCGTGCTGTTCCCAAAGCAGCCCTCGGCTTCTCAGATCACTCCATGATACATCTGGTTCCTGCTTACAGACAGAGACTAAAGCTCTCGAAACCTGCAGTGAGGAGCTCCAAAGTGTGGTCTGATGAAGCTGTGGAAGAGCTGCATGCATGGAATCTACACAATAGAATGTATTGTTGTATAGCCCTAGGTCACAACAGAAGTCATCTCAGAGGACTTAACAAAACCATTGAAATCACCAACACAGGTCAGAGAATCAACAGTTAAAACACATGAAGAATATAAAGCACACACAGAAGAAAATGTCCATACATGTTGTAGAATGCTAAAGTGTCCTGATCATCACCAATCCTTTCTGTTGGACACTAACTGTCCAACAAGACCCTCCTGCATCGACAAGGAACAACTCTTAAAAAACCCAGTGGGAAAAAGTGAGAAACCTTGGGGAGAACTAGGGAAACCCACAGGGAGGGAGACCCATATGAGAAAGGGATCCGCTCCTCCGGACGGACAGGCTAATGATCCAGGACCTAAGCTAGCTACAGGACCTAAGCTAGCTACAGGACCTAAGCTAGCTACAGAACGTGGACCAGTGGCCGCTGAACGTGGACAGGTGCAGGACTGAAGCACTCCCAGGCGGGTCGGGCGGGGCAGTCCGCAGGTGTAGATGGAAGAGGCCAGGCTCAGAGATCCCGTCATCGTACCATGAAACAGACAATGGGACAACGGGTGAATAGCAATGAACAAACTACAGTCAGAATCCTAAAAATGCTAAACAGATAAAGTAGGAAGGAGGAGAGGATAGTGCTCAAGTTACCATACTTCTCCAGCAGGGGGCGCCCTATGCAGCTTGACTGACAGTCTGAGGAGTTTAGCCTTCCCTGAGTCTTACCTTCCTAGCCATATGCTAAACTAAAGAGGACTGTTTTAAACCTAGCCTTGAATAAAGAGAGCGTATCTGAAAGGAGGCGAGACAGCAGCAGCCACGGCTAGGCTAGGCTAGGCTAGGCTAGCTAGGCTAGGCTAGGCTACAGCACCAAGATTCATGGATTGCACACCAGGTGTGCCAAACCGATCCAAGCAAACCTAATTATATATTATATATCATATACATCATATATATATCATACATACCATATATATCATATGTAATACACAACATAACATACAGCATAATATATAACATAATATACAACATAACACAATACATTTGGTTTTTCAAGGTTATACAAAAAAATAACACACAAAAAACACTGCCAGTATACATATACATTAAAGCCCAAAGCAATTTTTATATATATATATATATATAATATATATATATATATATATATATATATATAAGTATACAATCTTTAAGTCTGAGGTAGAATCCTCTTCTGTTGAACATGTTCAATAAACGTGTCCCGCTGCCCAGATAAACTATACCGGATCTCTTCCAGGTATGAACAAGACATCATGTCATGTCAGGTGTTCCAATCCCTTACAATAACTCTCTTAGCAATAATCACACTACACATTATGACCTGGGTCGACCTGGGTCGACCTGGGTTGACCTGGGACACTTTAAGGTTTGAACATTTATGAACGGTTTCCAAAAGGGAAAATATGCCAGAGCAGAAGTTTGAAAGGACACAGAACATGTGACCTACTGAACCATAGTCCACACTTATCACATCCCGCTGACACAGACGGGAACATCTGATTTAATCTGGTCTTTGAATAATGTAAACAATGTACAACTTTAAATAGACTCAGATCAAGTCTAGCATTAATTGAGCATAATTTGATTCCCCCCAAGGATCAGCTGGAATGCCAAGACCCGAGTCCTTTACCGAAGCCTCTTTGACTTGGGTCGAAGGACTTCCCTGGTAGAAAAGAGAAACAAACTGAGATATTAAATGTTTGGAGGTTGAGGGTTTTCTCAAGAACTGGTGAAACTGTAATCGTGCTGAGGTAATGATTGACACAATTCCTAACCTGCAAGTACCTGAAGAAAGGACCAGGAGACTGAACTTGCAACTGAGCAAATGAGATGTAAAGATCCTCGACAGAAGATAGACTCGACCTCAGCGTAAAGACAGGATCCAACATGCCTGGTTTAAACGCTGGGTCTGGGCCAATTGGAGAATAGATGCATACATCAGGAAGCTTACAAATATTTCTTATTTGTTTTAGAATTCTGTAAGAGTCACTGAACAGTAAAGCAGGAAGTGTAGCTCCAGTGGCAATCTTAAATTAGCTTGAGTCTATCGAGGGCCAACATGGCTTCACGGTTATCGCCTTCTTCGACCCAGGTCCTCGCATTACAGGCCCAATAGTAATGTTTCATAACTGACAAACCAAAACCACCTTCTGATGTACAGTAGGTCCCATTTCGTTTTGTCGCCTTTCACGCGTGAATCACACGAGACTCACGTGTGATTCACGCGTCTTTTATTTATTTTTCCCCAGTGATGCTGCAATGACCCAAACAACCACCAGGTGGCACTTGTGAGCAGGGTTAGGAACATTGGCTTCTCATCGCTCTTTCTTCTCTCTTCACCGGACAACTCTCTGTGGCTTTATAGCTCAATGATAAGGAGCTAGACTCTGGTGTGAGAGGACTCGGGTTCGAGTACAGTCTATGACACTTTTGATTTTGTTGACGTTTACATTTTTTCTAAAAAATACTTAGTAATTAGGCCAACACATTTAAAATAGTTTCTAGACTGTAGTAAACTGTTGTAAACTTCACAATCTGCACCAACCAAACTGCAGGAAAAAAATTCAACTTTATTCAGTAACGGAGTAATCTGATTCATATACTCCCCCCGCTAATAAAAACTGAGGATTGGCCGGAACCCCGACCGTCCAAGCGAAAGTCTTGGACAATCCCGCTACACCACACAGGCGCTGCAAATGTTTGCCATATGATCTGCTACTAGTGTGCATTTTAGAATTCCTAATTAATGGTAGCTATATGTAACATGTGTAGTTTAAATTTTTGTATTGCTAATCAAAGTAAAAGTATTCTGAATACAGTGTACACTCGTGTTTGTTTTGTTCCAATGTTTCATGTTCAATAACGCACTTGCTGCTGGCTATCCCATACTGTAGAACAGGGGTTCCCAAAGTTTTTAGCCCGCGACCCCCATCATAAATGCCCTGCTAACCCGCGACCCCCGCCCCCCCCCCCCCCCAACAGCCCTTCCGTCACATGAAATGAGCATGTATTTCCTTGATACGGAGTAACGCTTTCTAGAGACTCACGCCACTACCGAGCTGCACTGTCCAGCCCAAAAAAGGAGGCTTGCATATTTTTACTCATGTAGTGACACAGTGATGGGCTTGGTGGGCTCCCTCCTCAGCAGAAGTGGAGCGCATTTCTTGCGGCTCGCCCTCACTGTTCTCCTACCGCGGTAAAGTGGGCCGGCTTTCCGGAGTCAGCGGTAAAGAGGTCCGCACATTAAAAGCGGGCGGCCGCTTTCTGCTGTTACTTTATGCGGTTCATCCCCGCGGCTTCTCTTTCCAAAGTTACTGTCAGTAAAGGCATAAACCGGCCACCCGCTTTTAATGTGCGGACCTCTTTACCTTTGACTCCGAAAAGCCGGGCCTCTTTAACGCGCTGTTCTACCGCTGTCCTCCCTCCCTCCGCTGCCCTCTCTCCCTCCTCTGCCCTCTCTCCCTCCTCTGCCCTCTCTCCCTCCTCTGCCCTCTCTCCCTCCTCTGCCCTCTCTCCCTCCTCTGCCCTCTCTCCCTCCTCTGCCCTCTCTCCCTCCTCTGCCCTCTCTCCCTCCTCTGCCCTCTCTCCCTCCTGCTGCCCTCTCTCCCTCCTCTGCCCTCTCTCCCTCCTCTGCCCTCTCTCCCTCCTCTGCCCTCTCTCCCTCCTCTGCCCTCTCTCCCTCCTCTGCCCTCTCCCCCTCTCCTCCCTCCTCTGCCCTCTCTCCCTCCTCTGCCCTCTCTCCCTCTGCCCTCTCCCCTCCTCTGCCCTCTCTCCCTCCTCTGCCCTCTCTCCCTCCTCTGCCCTCTCTCCCTCCTCTGCCCTCTCTCCCTCCTCTGCCCTCTCTCCTCCTCTGCTCTCTCCCTCCTCTGCCCTCTCTCCCTCCTCTGCCCTCTCTCCCTCCTCTGCCCTCTCTCCCTCCTCTGCCCTCTCTCCCTCCTCTGCCCTCTCTCCCTCCTCTGCCCTCTCTCCCTCCTCTGCCCTCTCTCCCTCCTCTGCCCTCTCTCCCTCCTCTGCCCTCTCTCCCTCCTGCTGCCCTCTCTCCCTCCTCTGCCCTCTCTCCCTCCTCTGCCCTCTCCCCTCTCTCCCTCCTCTGCCCTCTCTCCCTCCTCTGCCCTCTCTCCCTCCTCTGCCCTCTCCCCCTCCTCTGCCCTCCTCTCCCTCTCTCCCTCTCTCCCTCCTCTGCCCTCTCTCCCTCTCCCTCTTCTCCCTCCTCTGCCCTCTCTCCCTCCTCTGCCCTCTCTCCCCTCTCTCCCTCCTCTGCCCTCTCTCCCTCCTCTGCCCTCTCTCCCTCCTCTCCCTCTCTCCCCCTCCTCTCTCCCTCTCTCCCTCCTCTGCCCTCTCTCCCTCCTCTGCCCCTCTCCCCTCCCTCCTCGCCCTCTCTCCCTCCTCTGCCCTCTCTCCCTCCTCTGCCCTCTCTCCTCCTCCTGCCCTCTCTCCCTCCGCTGCCCTCTCTCCCTCCGCTGCCCTCTCTCCCTCCTCTGCCCTCTCTCCCTCCTCTGCCCTCTCTCCCTCCTCTGCCCTCTCTCCCTCCTCTGCCCTCTCTCCCTCCGCTGCCCTCTCTCCCTCCTCTGCCCTCTCCCCTCCGCTGCCCTCTCTCCCTCCTCTGCCCTCTCTCCCTCCTCTGCCCTCTCTCCCTCCGCTGCCCTCTCTCCCTCCTCTGCCCTCTCTCCCTCCTCTGCCCTCTCTCCCTCCCTGCCCTCTCTCCCTCCGCTGCCCTCTCTCCCTCCTCTGCCCTCTCTCCCTCTCTCCTCTCTGCCCTCTCTCCCTCCGCTGCCCTCTCTCCCTCCTCTGCCCTCTCTCCCTCCTCTGCCCTCTCTCCCTCCTCTGCCCTCTCTCCCTCCTCTGCCCTCCCTCCCTCCGCTGCCCTCTCTCCCTCCGCTGCCTCTCTCCCTCCTCTGCCCTCTCTCCCTCCTCTGCCCTCTCTCCCTCCTCTGCCCTCTCTCCCTCCGCTGCCCTCTCTCCCTCCTCTGCCCTCTCTCCCTCCTCTGCCCTCTCTCCCTCCGCTGCCCTCTCTCCCTCCTCTGCCCTCTCTCCTCCTCCTCTCTGCCCTCTCTCCCTCCTCTGCCCTCTCTGCCCTCTCTCCCTCCTCTGCCCTCTCTCCCTCCGCTGCCCTCTCTCCCTCCTCTGCCCTCTCTCCCTCCTCTGCCCTCTCTCCCTCCTCTGCCCTCTCTCCCTCTCTCCCTCTGCCCTCCTCCCTCCGCTGCCCTCTCTCCCTCCTCTGCCCTCTCTCCCTCCTCTCCCTCTCTGCCCTCTCTCCCTCCCTCTGCCCTCTCTCCCTCCTCTGCCCTCTCTCCCTCCTCTGCCCTCTCTCCCCTCCTCTGCCCTCTCTCCCTCCTCTGCCCTCTCTCCCTCCTCTGCCCTCTCTCCCTCCCTCCCTGCCCTCTCTCCCTCCTCTGCCCTCTCTCCCTCCTCTGCCCTCTCTCCCTCCTCTGCCCTCTCTCCCTCCTCTGCCCTCTCTCCCTCCGCTGCCCTCTCTCCCTCCTCTGCCCTCTCTCCCTCCTCTGCCCTCTCTCCCTCCTCTGCCCTCTCTCCCTCCTCTGCCCTCTCTCCCTCCTGCCCTCTCCCTCTCTCCCTCCTCCTCTGCCCTCTCTCCCTCCTCTGCCCTCTCTCCCTCCGCTGCCCTCTCTCCCTCCTCTGCCCTCTCTCCCTCCTCTGCCCTCTCTCCCTCCTCTGCCCTCTCCCCTCCTCTCTCTCCTCTGCCCTCCCTCCCTCCCCTGCCCTCTCTCCCTCCTCTGCCCTCTCTCCCTCCTCTGCCCCTCTCTCCCTCCTCTGCCCTCTCTCCCTCCTCCTCTGCCCTCTCTCCCTCCTCTGCCCTCTCTCTCCTCCTCTGCCCTCTCTCCCTCCTCTGTCCTCTCTCTCTCTCTCTCTCTCTGCCCTCTCTCCCTCCGCTGCCCTCTCTCCCTCCTCTGCCCTCTCTCCCTCCTCTGCCCTCTCTCCCTCCTCTGCCCTCTCTCCCTCTCTGCCCTCTCTCCCTCCTCTGCCCTCTCTCCCTCCTCTGCCCTCTCTCCCTCTCTTCGCACCATCAGCCTGACCCCTGATACAAGTGACTTTTCTCCCCCTCCGGGTTTTTCTGTTGTGGATATTAACCACGTTTCATTTTAAAGCAGGTATTATTTATTTGTAGTCTCCAAACACCTTTAGTTTTAGCAAACAACAGCAGGACACGCTTTGTCGCTGCGCATGATGTGAGCTGTGTTACGTGATGATTTTGATTGACGCTGCAATGACTGGGACAAAATTACTAACGTTATTAAAATATATTTTATAAATATATTTATAAGATATATATAATAATATATATAAATGCTAAATAAATATTTAAGGGCTTTATATTTGCTCAAAAAAAATAATCTTTTTTTTGTGTGTGGAAATCATCTTGCAACCCCCCCAGGGGTTCCCGCGACCCCCCGGGGGGTCGGGACCCCCACTTTGGGAACCACTAAGTCAGAAAGGAACTTTTGAGAAGAAGTGTTTTTATTAAAAAATAAGAAGTAAAAATAAGTAATAAAGTAAAATACAATTGTATTGTTACAGTACTTACAATACAGTGCAGTAAGTTAGTACAGTGTTTTACAGAGTCAATCCTTTAAACTTTAGCATTCAGTAGCGACACTTTTAAACATAAAACACATTCTCACGATATTGCTAATACAAATTTATGATGGGGGGAAAACTTTCTTTCTCCGTGTTTTACAAATATAATGGAGTTGGCTGAAGAATGTCTGCTTAGTTTGTGAACTGTATTGAACTAGATTGACCTGGGCTCGAGTCCACAGGAATGTCGAAAATCCAGTTCATCTTCACATATGCAAAACATCTTCACATAGCCTATCACTCAGGCGAGCAAAAACCGAGCACGTTTTCTCCAGTGTTAAATAAAAAATACTTAGTAATTAGGCCAACACATTTAAAATAGTTGCTAGACTGTAGTAAACTGTTGTAAACTTCACAATCTGCACCAACCAAACTGCAGGAAAAAAATTCAACTTTATTCAGTAACGGAGTAATCTGATTCATATACTCCCCCCGCTAATAAAAACTGAGTAGGAGTGAACCTGACCGATGTCAGACGGTGTTAAGATGACATCGTCTGCGTACAGACCTATTGTGCATTCACATGTGTTATTATTCCATGTTCTGACTCTGAATTGCAAGTGGTTCTAGAGCGAGAGTGAACAGAATAGGTGACAAACAGCAGCGCTGCCTGGTGCCACGATGTAAGGACAAGGAGACTTATTGTTATTGGTGATCACACATGACCGAGGATGTGCCTACAGCATCCTCGATAAGGCCTCAAACCTGTCGCCTGTGACCATGTGACCATGTGACCATGTGCTCCCACTGCATCTGATCAAACACCTGTGACCATGTGACCATGTGCTCCCACTGCATCTGATCAAACACCTGTGACCATGTGACCATGTGTTCCCACTTCATCTGATCAAAGACCTGTGACCATGTGACCATGTGACCATGTGTTCCCACTTCATCTGATCAAAGACCTGTGACCATGTGACCATGTGCTCCCACTTCATCTGATCAAAGACCTGTGACCATGTGCTCCCACTGCATCTGATCAAAGACCATGTGACCATGTGACCATGTGACCATGTGCTCCCACTGCATCTGATCAAAGACCATGTGACCATGTGACCATGTGACCTGCTGGGTGAGACCACGTGACCATGTGACCTGCTGGTTGCGACCATGTGACCACGTGACCATGTGACCTGCTGGGTGAGACCATGTGACCACGTGATCATATGACCTGCTGGGTGAGACCATGTGACCACGTGACCATGTGACCTGCTGGGTGAGTGTCACTCCCGTATTCGTCCCGGAAACCGGATTCGTCCGGAAGTTCAGTTTGCGCATGTCAAAAAGTTGTATATGTCCTTAAGTGGAGACTGGTTAAGTTTTAGGCGTCTGAGTAAGATGGTTAAGTTTAGGGTTAAGGCTGGGTTGGGGTTATTTTATGGGAATGGCTGGTTAAGTTTAGGCATGAATAGGTAGTTTTTTATATTTACTTCCGCTTCCGTCCAGATTCCGTGACGTAATCTACTGCTGCGTTTGATCATTGGATCAAACTGAACTTCCGGACGAATCCGGTTTCCGGGACGAATACGGGAGTGACAACGAGACCCTGTGACAATGTGACCAGCTGGGTGAGACCATGTGACCACGTGACCATGTGACCTGCTGGGTGAGACCATGTGACCATGTGACCTGCTGGGTGTGACCATGTGACTGTGTGACCATGTGACCTGATGGGTGAGACCATGTGACCACATGACCCTGTGACCTGCTGGGTGAGACCATGTGACCACGTGACCATGTGACCTGCTGGGTGAGACCATGTGACTGTGTGACCATGTGACCTGCTGGGTGAGACTGTGTGACCATGTGACCTGCTGGGTGAGACTGTGTGACCATGTGACCTGCTGGGTGAGACCATGTGACCATGTGACCTGCTGGGTGAGACCATGTGACCTGCTGGGTGAGACCATGTGACCACGTGATCATATGACCTGCTGGGTGAGACCATGTGACCACGTGACCATGTGACCTGCTGGGTGAGACCATGTGACCACGTGATCATATGACCTGCTGGGTGAGACCATGTGACCACGTGACCATATGACCTGCTGGGTGAGACCATGTGACCACGTGACCATGTGACCTGCTGGGTGAGACCATGTGACCATGTGACCTGCTGGGTGAGACCATGTGACCATGTGACCTGCTGGGTGAGACCATGTGACCACGTGACCTGCTGGGTGCGACCATGTGACCACGTGACCTGCTGGGTGAGACCATGTGACTGTGGGACCATGTGACCTGCTGGGTGCGACCATGTGACCACGTGACCTGCTGGGCGTGACCATGTGACCTGCTGGGTGAGACCATGTGACCACGTGACCATTTGACCTGCTGGGTGAGGCTATGTGACCACGTGACCATGTGACCGTGTGACCATGTGACCTGCTGGGTGAGACCATGTGACCACGTGACCATTTGACCTGCTGGGTGAGGCTATGTGACTGTGTGACCATGTGACCACGTGACCATGTGACCTGCTGGGTGAGACCATGTGACCACGTGACCATTTGACCTGCTGGGTGAGGCTATGTGACTGTGTGACCATGTGACCACGTGACCATGTGACCTGCTGGGTGAGACCATGTGATCATGAGACCATGTGACCTGCTGGGTGAGACCATGTGATCATGAGACCATGTGACCTGCTGGGTGGATCTGAGGCTCTGTTGAGGAGGAGCTCTGATGCTAACGGCACGGTGGCTGAGTGGTTAGCACTCTTGCTTCTCAACAAGAAGGTCTTGGGTTCAAATCCCGGTCGGAACAGGGCCTTTCTGAGTGGAGTTTGCATGTTCTCCCCGTGTCTGCGTAGGTTTCCTCCGGGTGCTCCGGTTTCCCCTCTGAATGTAAATGAGAGAGTGAATGATGGTGTTGGAGCTGTAACATGTGCTATATAAATAAACATGACTTACAGCACTTACTAACGACTTTAAGCTAGCAGGCTTTATGGTTTACAGTCTGTAAAACAGCTGCTTTACTAGCTGCTGGACTACCTGCTTTAGTCCAGCTTTAGTCCTGCTTTAGTCCAGCTTTAGTCCAGCTTTTGTCCAGCTTTAGTCCAGCTTTAGTCCAGCTTTAGTCCAGCTTTAGTCCTGCTTTTGTCCAGCTTTAGTCCAGCTTTAGTCCTGCTTTAGACCTGCTTTAGACCTGCTTTAGTCCAGCTTTAGTCCTGCTTTAGACCTGCTTTAGTCCTGCTTTAGACCTGCTTTAGTCCAGCTTTAGTCCTGCTTTAGACCTGCTTTAGTCCTGCTTTAGTCCTGCTTTAGTCCAGCTTTAGTCCAGCTTTAGTCCTGCTTTAGACCTGCTTTAGTCCTGCTTTAGTCCTGCTTTAGTCCAGCTTTAGTCCTGCTTTAGTCCAGCTTTAGTCCAGCTTTAGTCCTGCTTTAGTCCTGCTTTAGACCTGCTTTAGTCCAGCTTTAGTCCTGCTTTAGTCCTGCTTTAGACCTGCTTTAGACCTGCTTTAGACCTGCTTTAGTCCTGCTTTAGACCTGCTTTAGTCCTGCTTTAGACCTGCTTTAGTCCTGCTTTAGTCCTGCTTTAGTCCTGTTTAGACCTGCTTTAGACCTGCTTTAGTCCTGTTTAGACCTGCTTTAGACCTGCTTTAGTCCTGCTTTAGTTCTGCTTTAGTCCTGCTTTAGTCCTGCTTTAGTCCTGCTTTAGACCTGCTTTAGACCTGCTTTAGTCCTGCTTTAGACCTGCTTTAGTCCTGCTTTAGTCCTGCTTTAGACCTGCTTTAGTCCTGCTTTAGACCTGGTTTATTCCTGATTTAGTCCTGCTTTAGTCCTGGTTTAATTCTGCTTTAGTCCTGGTTTAATTCTGCTTTAGTCCTGGTTTAATCCTGGTTTAGTCCTGGTTTAGTACTGGCTGAGTTCTGGTTTAGTCCTGCTTTAGTTTAATCCTGGTTTAATCCTGGTTTAGTCCTGGTTTAGTCCTGGTTTAATCCTGGTTTAGTCCTGGTTTAGTCCTGGTTTAGTCCTGTTTTAGTCCTGGTTTAGTCCGGGTTTACAGTGAGTAAAAAGTGTTTCTGGTGTGTTTGGGTTCAGTCCGAATCCTCAGCGTTGAAGCATTTCTCAACATGGGATCCCCAGGTCCACCGTCCAAAGAAGGTACTTTAGAGCTGACCTTAGAGCTGACATTAGAGCTGACATTAGAGCTGACCTTAGAGCTGACATTAGAGCTGACATTAGAGCTCACCTTAGCGCTACATTAGAGCTACATTAGAGCTGACCTTAGAGCTGACATTAGAGCTACACTGGAGCTGACATTAGAGCTGACCTTAGAGCTGACCTTAGAGCTGACCTTAGAGCTGACATTAGAGCAGACATTAGAGCTGACATTAGAGCTGACATTAGAGCTACATTAGAGCTGACATTAGAGTTGGCATTAGAGCTGACATTAGAGCTGACCTTAGAGCTGATCTTAGAGCTGACCTTAGAGCTGACATTAGAGCTGACCTTAGAGCTGACATTAGAGCTGACCTTAGAGCTGACATTAGAGCTGACATTAGAGCTTACCTTAGAGCTGACATTAGAGCTACATTAGAGCTGACCTTAGAGCTGACATTAGAGCCTTAAAGCTGACATTAGAGCTGACATTAGAGTTGACCTTAGAGCTGACATTAGAGCTACATTAGAGCTGACTTTAGAGCTACATTAGAGCTACATTAGAGCTGACCTTAGAGCTGACCTTAGAGCTGACATTAGAGCTACATTAGAGCTGACCGTAGAGCTACATTAGAGCTGACCTTAGAGCTGACATTAGAGCTGACCTCAGAGCTGACATTAGAGCTGACCTTAGAGCTACATTAGAGCTGACATTAGAGCTACATTAGAGCTGACATTAGAGCTGACCTTAGAGCTTCCTTCTTTAGAGTCCTTTGAGTCCTCAGACCAAGACCAGACCAAGACCAAACCAAGACCCAGATCCAGACCAAAACAAGACCAGACAAAGACCCAGACCAAGACCAGACCAAGACCCAGACCAAGACCAAAACAAGACCAGACACAGACACAGACCAAGACCAGACCCAGACCAAAACTAAATCAGACCCAGACTAAGACCTAGACCAAGACTAGAGCCAAACTAAGACCCAGACCAAGACCAAACCAAGACCCAGACAAAGACCAAGACCAGACCAGACCAAACCCAGACAAAGACCAAGACCAGACCAGACCCAGACACAGACTAAGACCCAGACAGACCGACACAGTGTTGTAGGGACTAGTTCTTGGTGCTAGTCCATGTGTAAACCCAGTGAGTTTCCCATAACCAGCGGCCTCCTCTTTATAGTCCCTGTGTTTGATGGTCCACACAGACAAATCCTGCTGGACACTCTTTATAGTCCCTGTGTTTGATGGTCCACACAGACAAATCCTGCTGGACACTCTTTATAGTCCCTGTGTTTGATGGTCCACACAGACAAATCCTGCTGGACACTCTTTATAGTCCCTGTGTTTGATGGTCCACAGATAGATCCTGCTGGACACTCTTTATAGTCCCTGTGTTTGATGGTGTTAGTCTCTGTGGTTGATGGTGTTTATAGTCCCTGTGGTTGATGGTGTTTATAGTCCTTGTGATTGATGGTCCACACAGAACAGACTCAGACTTATCTCATCTCTTTGGCCTCATAATGAAAAGCTGCTCTTTGCTGGTGCTGATGGAGTGGTCTGGTCTGGTCTGCTCTGAGACCATGTGCGACCGAGAGTCTGATGAAGGGCCGAGCGGCAGCAGCTCAGACAGATCTGGTTTAAACACATTTTAACAAAACAAATCTTGTGTTTGCAGAAAACAACGCCTACAGTTTTGGACGGACGACCATCGCCAACCTCAAATCTGGGTAAGTGACCGCTGCTCACTCTGGTCTCTCTCTGCTTTCCCTCTGGTCTCCCTCTGGTCCTCCTCTAGTCTCTCTCTGGTTTCTCCGTGATGTCTCTCTCTGGTCTCTCTCTGGTCTCTCTCTGCTCTCTCTCTGGTCTCTCTCTCTGGTCTCTCTCTGGTCTCTCTCTGGTCTCCCTCTGCTCTCTCTCTGGTCTCTCTCTGGTCTCTCTCTGGTCTCCCTCTGCTCTCTCTCTGGTCTCTCTCTGCTTTCCCTCTGGTCTCCCTCTGGTCCTCCTCTGGTCTCCCTCTGGTCCTCCTCTGGTCTCCCTCTGGTCTCCCTCTGGTCTCCCTCTGGTTTCTGTCTGGTCTCCCTGCTCTCTCTCTCCGGTCTTCCTCCGGTCTCCCTCTGCTCTCCCTCTGCTCTCCCTGTGGTCTCCCTTTGGTCTCTCTCTGGTCTCTCTCTGCTTTCCCTCTGCTCTCCCTCTGGTCTCCCTTTGGTCTCTCTCTGGTCTCCCTCTGGTCTCTCTCTCTGGTCTCCCTCTGGTCTCTCCCTCTGCTTTCTTTCTGCTCTCCCTCTGGTCTCTCTCTGCTCTCTCTCTGCTCTCCCTCTGGTCTCCCTCTGCTCTCCCTCTGGTCTTCCTCTGGTCTCCCTCTGCTCTCCCTTTGGTCTCTCTCTGGTCTCCCTTTGCTCTCCCTTTGGTCTCTCTCTGGTCTCCCTCTGGTCTCTCTCTCTGCTCTCTCTCTGCTCTCCCTCTGGTCTTCCTCCGGTCTCCCTCTGCTCTCCCTCTGCTCTCCCTTTGGTCTCTCTCTGGTCTCCCTCTGGTCTTCCTCTGGTCTCCCTCTTGTCTTCCTCTGGTCTCCCTCTGGTCTCCCTCTGCTCTCCCTCTGGTCTCCCTCTGGTCTCTCTCTCTGCTCTCTCTCTGCTCTCTCTCTGCTCTCCCTCTGGTCTCCCTCTGCTCTCCCTCTGGTCTTCCTCTGGTCTCCCTCTGCTCTCCCTTTGGTCTCTCTCTGGTCTCCCTCTGCTCTCCCTTTGGTCTCTCTCTGGTCTCTCTCTGGTCTCTCTCTCTGGTCTCCCTCTGGTCTCTCTCTCTGCTCTCTCTCTGCTCTCCCTCTGGTCTCCCTCTGTTCTCCCTCTGGTCTTCCTCTGGTCTCCCTCTGTTCTCCCTCTGCTCTCCCTCTGGTCTCCCTCCGGTCTCCCTCTGGTCTCCCTCCGGTCTCATCAGTTCTTGTGTGTAGGACTAACCTCCTGTGGCTGCATACGACCTTCGCCTTCATGTATCTGCTGCTCACCGTCTACAGCATGAGGCGCCACACGTCCAAGATGCACTACAAGGAGGACGACCTGGTGAGGCCACGCCCCCACAGCAGGAGACCACGCCCCCACAGTATCAGGCCACGCCCCCACAGCAGCAGACCACACCCCACAGCAGCAGACCACACCCCACAGCAGGAGACCACACCCACACAGCAGGAGACCACACCCACACAGCAGGAGACCACACCCCACAGCAGGAGACCACGCCCCCACAGCAGGAGGCCACACCCCACAGCAGGAGACCACACCCCACAGCAGGAGACCACACCCCACAGCAGGAGACCACACCCACACAGCAGGAGACCACACCCCACGCAGGAGACCCACCCACACAGCAGGAGACCACACCCCCACAGCAGGAGACCACACCCCCACAGCAGGAGACCACACCCCCACAACAGGAGACCACACCCCCACAACAGGAGACCACACCCACACAGCAGGAGACCACACCCACACAGCAGGAGACCACACCCACACAGCAGGAGACCACACCCCCACAGCAGGAGACCACACCCACACAGCAGGAGACCACACCCACACAGCAGGAGGCCACACCCCACAGCAGGAGACCACACCCACACAGCAGGAGACCACACCCCACAGCAGGAGACCACACCCCCACAGCAGGAGACCACACCCACACAGCAGGAGACCACACCCACACAGCAGGAGACCACACCCACACAGCAGGAGACCACACCCACACAGCAGGAGACCACACCCCCACAGCAGGAGACCACACCCACACAGCAGGAGACCACACCCACACAGCAGGAGACCACACCCCCACAGCAGGAGACCACACCCACACAGCAGGAGACCACACCCCCACAGCAGGAGACCACACCCACACAGCAGGAGACCACACCCACACAGCAGGAGACCACACCCCCACAGCAGGAGACCACACCCACACAGCAGGAGACCACACCCACACAGCAGGAGACCACACCCCCACAGCAGGAGACCACACCCCACAGCAGGAGACCACACCCACACAGCAGGAGACCACACCCACACAGCAGGAGACCACACCCACACAGCAGGAGACCACACCCACACAGCAGGAGACCACACCCACACAGCAGGAGACCACACCCCCACAGCAGGACACAACACCCACACAGCAGGAGACCACACCCACATAGCAGGAGACCACACCCACACAGCAGGAGACCACACCCACACAGCAGGAGACCACACCCACACAGCAGGAGACCACACCCCACAGCAGGAGACCACACCCCCACAGCAGCAGACCACACCCACACAGCAGGAGACCACACCCACACAGCAGGAGACCACACCCCCACAGCAGCAGACCACACCCACACAGCAGGAGACCACACCCACACAGCAGGAGACCACACCCACACAGCAGGAGACCACACCCACACAGCAGGAGACCACACCCACACAGCAGGAGACCACACCCCCACAGCAGCAGACCACACCCACACAGCAGGAGACCACACCCCACAGCAGGAGACCACACCCACACAGCAGGAGACCACACCACACAGCAGGAGACCACACCCACACAGCAGGAGACCACACCCACACAGCAGGAGACCACACCCACACAGCAGGAGACCACACCCACACAGCAGGAGACCACACCACACAGCAGGAGACCACACCCACACAGCAGGAGACCACACCACACAGCAGGAGACCACACCCACACAGCAGGAGACCACACCCCCACAGCAGGAGACCACACCCACACAGCAGGAGACCACACCCACACAGCAGGAGGCCACACCCCCACAGCAGGAGACCACACCCACACAGCAGGAGGCCACACCCCCACAGCAGGAGACCACACCCACACAGCAGGAGACCACACCCACACAGCAGGAGACCACACCCACACAGCAGGAGACCACACCACACAGCAGGAGACCACACCCACACAGCAGGAGGCCACACCCACACAGCAGGAGGCCACACCCACACAGCAGGAGACCACACCCCCACAGCAGGAGTCCACACCCACACAGCAGGAGACCACACCCCCACAGCAGGAGACCACACCCACACAGCAGGAGGCCACACCCACACAGCAGGAGGCCACACCCACACAGCAGGAGACCACACCCCCACAGCAGGAGACCACACCCCCACAGCAGGAGGCCACACCCACACAGCAGGAGGCCACACCCCCACAGCAGGAGGCCACACCCCCACAGCAGGAGGCCACACCCCCACACACCAGTCCAAAATGACACAAACACTACTGAGCTAGAGGATTCAAACTTCATCATGAGCACTTCCCTGTTGGCCTCATTGAGCTAGCATGTTAGCTTGTCTCTCTGTGTACAGTCTGGGGTCTGAACCATGTGAGTTGATGGTTTCTTTGATCTATCTTCTGCAGGTGAAGCGCACATTGTTCATAAACGGCATTTCCAAATACGCAGAAGAGTCTCAGATCAAGCAGCACTTTGAGTGAGTGACACCTGGTTTTACTCTTGATGGTCCTCACCCCGGGGTTTTCCACTCATGGTTCATGGTTGTGTGAGAGAAACCCCTCGTCTGACCCCTCTCCATCCCCCTGTTCTCAATAATGTGTCTGGCCCTTTACCATCAAGGAGTCTTTTGTGGTTGTTCTGGTCTCTCTCTTTCTGGTCTCTCTCGGGTCACTCTCTCTGGTCTCTGGTTACTGCCTGGTTTCTTCCTGATCTCTTCCTGGTCTCATTGACTTTCTGGTCTCTCCCTAGTCTGTGGTCCCTCCCTGGTCTCTCTTCTCTCTGGTCTCTTCCTGGTCCCTCCCTGGTCTCCTCCTGGTCATGTGTATGTGTGTGTGTGTGTTTGCAGACAGGCGTATGAGAACTGCCTGGTCCTGGAGGCTCTCTGGTCTCTCTGCTCTCTTCCTGGTCTCTGCTCTCTCTGCTCTCTTCCTGGTCTCTGCTCTCTCTGGTCTCTTCCTGGTCTCTCTCTGGTCTCTATCCCTGGTCCCTCCCTGGTCTCCTCCTGGTCTCCTACATGTGTGTGTGTGTGTTTGCAGACAGGCGTATGAGAACTGCCTGGTACTGGAGGCTCTCTGGTCTCTCTGGTCTCTTCCTGGTCTCTGCTCTCTCTGGTCTATCCCTGGTCTCTCTCTGGTCTCTATCCCTGGTCCCTCCCTGGTCTCCTCCTGGTCTCCTACATGTGTGTGTGTGTGTGTTTGCAGACAGGCGTATGAGAACTGCCTGGTCCTGGAGGCTCGCATCTGTTTTAACGTGGCCAAACTGATGTCTCTGAACGGAGAGAGGAAGAAGACGGAGAGGAGCAAGAAGTTCTTCACGGACCTCATGGCCAAGGAGCACGTACCTACCATGATCAACCCCAAACCATGTGGGCACCTCTGCTGCTGTACCATCACCGGCTGTGAGGAGGTACCAGAGAGACCAGAGAGAGAGAGAGAGAGCAGAGAGAGAGACCAGAGAGAGAGCAGAGAGAGACCAGAGAGAGACCAGAGAGAGACCAGAGAGAGACCAGAGAGAGACCAGAGAGAGAGACCAGAGAGAGACCAGAGAGAGAGAGAGCAGAGACCAGAGAGGGAGAGCAGAGAGAGAGACCAGAGAGGGAGAGCAGAGAGAGAGCAGAGAGAGGCCAGAGAGAGAGAGAGAGAGAGCAGAGAGAGAGAGCAGAGAGAGAGAGAGAGCAGTGAGAGAGAGACCAGAGAGAGAGAGACCAGAGAGAGAGAGACCAGAGAGAGAGAGACCAGAGAGGGAGAGCAGAGAGAGAGAGAGCAGTGAGAGAGAGACCAGAGAGAGAGCAGAGAGAGGGAGACCAGAGAGAGAGAGCAGAGAGAGAGAGAGCAGAGAGAGAGAGACCAGAGAGAGAGAGCAGAGAGAGATAGACCAGAGAGGGAGAGCAGAGAGAGAGAGAGCAGTGAGAGAGAGCAGAGAGCAGAGAGAGAGACCAGAGAGAGAGAGCAGAGAGAGAGCAGAGAGAGAGACCAGCGAGAGAGAGAGAGAGAGCAGAGAGAGAGACCAGAGAGGGAGACCAGAGAGAGAGAGAGAGACCAGAGAGAGAGAGAGCAGAGAGAGAGCAGAGAGAGAGAGAGAGAGAGAGAGAGCAGTGAGAGAGAGCAGAGAGAGAGAGAGCAGTGAGAGAGAGAGCAGTGAGAGAGAGACCAGAGAGAGAGAGCAGAGAGAGAGAGAGGGAGAGCAGAGAGAGAGAGCAGAGAGAGAGAGAGCAGTGAGAGAGAGAGCAGTGAGAGAGACAGCAGAGAGAGAGAGAGCAGTGAGAGAGAGAGCAGAGAGAGAGAGAGCAGTGAGAGAGAGACCAGAGAGCAGAGAGAGAGAGAGCAGAGAGAGAGAGCAGAGAGAGAGACCAGAGAGAGAGACCATAGAGAGAGACCATAGAGAGAGACCAGAGAGAGAGACCAGAGAGAGACCAGAGAGAGAGACCAGAGAGAGACCAGAGAGAGACCATAGAGAGAGACCAGAGGGAGACCAGAGAGAGACCAGAGAGAGAGACCAGAGAGAGACCAGAGAGAGAGACCAGAGAGAGAGACCAGAGAGAGAGACCAGAGAGAGACCAGAGAGAGACCAGAGAGAGACCAGAGAGAGACCAGAGAGAGACCAGAGAGAGAGACCAGAGAGAGAGACCAGAGAGAGACCAGAGAGAGACCAGAGAGAGACCAGAGAGACACCAGAGAGAGACCAGAGAGAGACCAGAGAGAGAGACCAGAGAGAGACCAGAGAGAGACCAGAGAGAGAGACCAGAGAGAGACCAGAGAGAGACCAGAGAGAGAGACCAGAGAGAGACCAGAGAGAGACCAGAGAGAGACCAGAGAGAGAGACCAGAGAGAGACCAGAGAGAGCGACCAGAGAGAGACCAGAGAGAGACCAGAGAGCGACCAGAGAGAGACCAGAGAGAGACCAGAGAGAGACCAGAGAGAGACCAGAGAGAGAGACCAGAGGGAGACCAGAGAGAGACCAGAGAGAGACCAGAGAGAGACCAGAGAGAGACCAGAGAGACACCAGAGAGAGACCAGAGAGAGACCAGAGAGAGAGACCAGAGAGAGACCAGAGAGAGACCAGAGAGAGAGACCAGAGGGAGACCAGAGAGAGACCAGAGAGAGAGACCAGAGAGAGACCAGAGAGAGACCAGAGAGAGACCAGAGGGAGACCAGAGAGAGACCAGAGAGAGAGACCAGAGGGAGACCAGAGAGGCCGACCATGGCTCCATAAAAATGTGTGTGTAATACCTGTGTTGTCCTGCAGGAGGAGGCGGTGAGCTTCTACACAAAGCGTGAGGCCAAACTGAAGGAGGAGTACAGGAAGGAGAAGGAGAAGGTCCACACCAAGCCCCTGGGCATGGCCTTCGTCACCTTCCAGAACGAGGCCATGACAGCCGTGTGAGTCTGCTGGCACCTCCTCAGCACCTCCTCCTCAGACACCTCCTCCTCAGACACATCCTCCTCAGACACATCCTCCTCAGACACATCCTCCTCAGCATCTCCTTTTCACACACCTCCTCCTCAGCACCTCCTCCTCAGCACCTCCTCCTCAGACACCTCCTCCTCAGACACATCCTCCTCAGCATCTCCTTTTCACACACCTCCTCCTCAGCACCTCCTCCTCAGACACGTTCTCCTCAGACACCTCCTCTGCTTCCATCTCAGACACCTCCTCCTCAGACACCTCCTCTGCTTCCATCTCAGACACCTCCTCCTCAGACACCTCCTCCTCAGCATCTCCTTTTCACACACCTCCTCCTCAATCACCTCTGCTTACATCTCAGACACCTCCTCCTCAGACACCTCCTCTTCTTCCATCTCAGACACCTCCTCCTCAGACACCTCCTCTGCTTCCATCTCAGACACCTCCTCCTCAATCACCTCTGCATACATCTCAGACACCTCCTCCTCAGACACCTCCTCTGCTTCCATCTCAGACACCTCCTCTGCTTCCATCTCAGACACCTCCTCCTCAGACACCTCCTCTGCTTCCATCTCAGACACCTCCTCTGCTTCCAACTCAGACACCTCCTCCTCAGACACCTCCTCTGCTTCCATCTCAGACACCTCCTCCTCAGACACCTCCTCTGCTTCCATCTCAGACACCTCCTCCTCAGACACCTCCTCTGCTTCCATCTCAGACACCTCCTCTGCTTCCATCTCAGACACCTCCTCCTCAGACACCTCCTCCTACCATGAAGAAATAAATCAATGAATTTATGATGAGAATATTTTGGAGCTTTTGGTTCATTCTAACGCTCTCTGTCTCTCTTCATTCTGTTTCTTTATTTTCTCTCTCTGGTCTCTCTCTGGTCTCTCTCTGGTCTCTCTCTGGTCTCACTCTCTGGTCTCTCTCTCTGGTCTCTCTCTGGTCTCTCTCTCTGGTCTCTCTCTGGTCTCACTCTCTGGTCTCACTCTCTGGTCTGTCTCTGGTCTCTCTCTGGTCTCTCTGGTCTCTCTCTCTGGTCTCTCTCTGGTCTCTCTCTCTGGTCTCTCTTTGGTCTCTCTCTGGTCTCTCTCTGGTCTCTCTCTGGTCTCTCTCTGGTCTCCCTCTGGTCTCTTTCTGGTCTCCCTCTGGTCTCTCTCTGGTCTCCCTCTGGTCTCTCCCCAATCTCTCTCTGGTCTCCCTCTGGTCTCTCTCTCTGGTCTCTCCCCAATCTCTCTCTGGTCTCCCTCTGGTCTCTCTCTGGTCTCTCTCTGGTCTCCCTCTGGTCTCTCTCTGGTCTCCCTCTGGTCTGCCTCTGGTCTCCCTCTGGTCTCTCTCTTGGTCTCTCTCTGGTCTCTCTCTCTGGTCTCTCTCTGGTCTCTCTCTGGTCTCCCTCTGGTCTCTCTCTGGTCTGCCTCTGGTCTCCCTCTGGTCTCCCTGTGGTCTCTCTCTGGTCTCTCTCTGGTCTCTCTCTGGTCTCCCTCTGGTCTCCCTCTGGTCTCTCTCTGGTCTCCCTCTGGTCTCTCTCTGGTCTCCCTCTGGTCTCCCTCTGGTCTCCCTCTGGTCTCCCTCTGCTCTCTCCCTCTGGTCTCTCTCTGGTCTCTCTCTGGTCTCTCTCTGGTCTCTCTCTGGTCTCCCTCTGGTCTCCCTCTGGTCTCTCTCTGGTCTCCCTCTGGTCTCCCTCTGGTCTCCCTCTGGTCTCTCTCTCTGGTCTCTCTCTGGTCTCCCTCTGGTCTCCCTCTGGTCTCCCTCTGGTCTCCCTCTGGTCTCCCTCTGGTCTCCCTCTGGTCTCCTTCTGGTCTCCCTCTGGTCTCCCTCTGGTCTCTCTCTGGTCTCTCTCTGGTCTCTCTCTGGTCTGCCTCTGGTCTCCCTCTGGTCTCCCTCTGGTCTCCCTCTGGTCTCCCTCTGATCTCCCTCTGGTCTCCCTCTGGTCTCCCTCTGGTCTCCCTCTGATCTCCCTCCATGTTCAATAGATTCTGTCTGATTACAAGGATCGATCAACACATGTTCGATAGATTCTGGTCTGATTACAAGGTTCGATCAACACATGTTCGATAGATTCTGTCTGATTACAAGGTTCGATCAACACATGTTCGATAGATTCTCTCTGATTACAAGGTTCGATCAACACATGTTCAATAGATTCTGTCTGATTACAAGGTTCGATCAACACATGTTCAATAGATTCTGTCTGATTACAAGGTTCGATCAACACATGTTCGATAGATTCTGTCTGATTACAAGGTTCGATCAACACATGTTCAATAGATTCTGTCTGATTACAAGGTTCGATCAACACATGTTCGATAGATTCTCTCTGATTACAAGGCTCGATCAACACATGTTCGATAGATTCTGTCTGATTACAAGGTTCGATCAACACATGTTCGATAGATTCTCTCTGATTACAAGGTTCGATCAACACATGTTCGATAGATTCTGTCTGATTACAAGGTTCGATCAACACATGTTCGATAGATTCTGTCTGATTACAAGGTTCGATCAACACATGTTCGATAGATTCTGTCTGATTACAAGGTTCGATCAACACATGTTCGATAGATTCTCTCTGATTACAAGGCTCGATCAACACATGTTCGACAGATTCTGTCTGATTACAAGGCTCGATCAACACATGTTCGATAGATTCTGTCTGATTACAAGGTTCGATCAACACATGTTGGACAGATTCTGTCTGATTACAAGGTTCGATCAACACATGTTCGATAGATTCTGTCTGATTACAAGGTTCGATCAACACATGTTCGATAGATTCTGTCTGATTACAAGGTTCGATCAACACATGTTCGATAGATTCTGTCTGATTACAAGGTTTGATCAACACATGTTCGATAGATTCTGTCTGATTACAAGGTTCGATCAACACATGTTCGACAGATTCTGTCTGATTACAAGGTTCGATCAACACATGTTCGATAGATTCTGTCTGATTACAAGGTTCGATCAACACATGTTCGACAGATTCTGTCTGATTACAAGGTTCGCAGTTTCCAGATGCATGTTTACTTCTTTTGTATGACGTGTCATTAAGTCCTGTATGTCCAATCCTGAGTCTTGTCATTGTAATTTCTTGTTTCCTATTGCCGCTTGTATCAATTCTCACTCCTTCCCTTTTCTGAATTTTGTGATACCACCGCCCAGTGTTCCCCTGATCCCAGTCTGTCTGCCATTTCAGCTTCAAGTTTCTTTTAATGATACTCTTAGCTTCTGATTTGCTCACATTTACTGTTATATCCACAATTGTATTGTTTAGTGCATCTTTGGCTGTTCTGTCTGCCATCTCATTCCCCACCACTCCCATATGAGCCGGCACCCACACAAACCCAACAACAAGCCCCATCATTCGTATTCTATACAACACTTCAGAATATCTTCTCTGCTGTCCGAGTGGCTGTTCTGAAGACTATTTATCGACAAACTCGAATCTGAACAGATCACTGATCTCATGGGTCTTACTTCCTCCACCCACTGAAGGCCCAGGAGAATTGCCACCATTTCTCCAGTATAGACTGATACTTTAACCTCAAATTCTGGCACGACATAAGATACTCCCACTTTACCATTTATACTTTTTGAAGCGTCTGTGTATATTTTAACATATCCATAGTACCCATCAATATGCACTTGAACAGTTTGCTTATCCAAGACACAGTCTCTGTTTCTGTGTTTTTTATTTAGCATCGACTGGTCCACCACAGCATCAGGAAGAATCCACGGAGGTATAGCAGGCACTGTCGGGCTGATCTGTAAATGGTCCACCTGATATCTTTTCACATTCTGCTCTATAGTCCATCCAAAACTTCTATTTTGCCTCTTCCCTGTCTCCCAACACAGCTCCAACGTATTCAAAGTTGGATGTCCTGACCTTTGACCTTTAAGATTAGCCCAGTAGTTCAGAGACAGCTGAATCCTTCTCCACTCTAATGGCATTTGATTCACTTCAACTTGTAATGCTGCAGGAGAAGTCCTAAAAGCACCTGTGCACAGTCTCAGAGCCTGATATTGAATTATATCCAACTTTTTCAAAGTTGTGACTGCAGCAGAGCCATAAACAATACAGCCATAGTCACAGATCTAATCAAACCTCTGTATATGGATAACATTGCCATTCTTTTCCTAATAAACACCTCAACACATTTAGCACTTGTTTACATTTATCATCTTATTAACATGAATTGCCCATGTTATTTTCTCATCGAACCACACCCCCAAATACTTAAAAACCTTGACTCTTTTCAGGTTTTGATCATACAGTCTTAGTTTAATCTCCTGTCCAATCTTTTTCTTCGTAAAAAACATGATCTTTGTTTGGTCAATAGAGAATATAAAACCCCATCTGTAAGACCACGTCTCAACTGTTTAATAGCCTCTTGGAGCTTTTTCACCACACATGGTACATTCCTCCCTCTACACCATATGGTACATTCCTCCCTCTACACCATGTAGCTCCATCATCTGCAAACAGTGAAAACCCAAACTTTTTACTTAACTCTTTAAAAATATCATGTATCATAATAGAAAACAGCGGACTTACTATACTTCCTTGAGGCGTTCCATTTTCAACACAGTACTTTCCAGAAAACATACTTCCTATCTAAACTTGTATTTTCCTTCCTTCTAAAAAACTTTGTATCCACTTGTACAATTTCCCATTAACTCCTAATATACGCAATCTCATAAGTAATCCCTGAATCCACAGCATGTCATATGCCTTTTCAATATCAGAGACTGGTCAGAGACTGGTAGTTTGCCTGAATCCACTCTGGTAGTTCGCCTGAATCCACTCTGGTAGTTCGCCTGAATCCACTCTGGTAGTTCGCCTGAATCCACTCTGGTAGTTCGCCTGAATCCACTCTGGTAGTTCGCCTGAATCCACTCTGGTAGTTTGTCTGAATCCACTCTGGTAGTTCGTCTGAATCCACTCTGGTAGTTCGCCTGAATTCACTCTGGTAGTTCGCCTGAATCCACTCTGGTAGTTCGCCTGAATCCACTCTGGTAGTTCGCCTGAATCCACTCTGGTAGTTCGTCTGAATCCACTCTGGTAGTTCGTCTGAATCCACTCTGGTAGTTCGCCTGAATCCACTCTGGTAGTTCGCCTGAATCCACTCTGGTAGTTCGCCTGAATCCACTCTGGTAGTTCGCCTGAATCCACTCTGGTAGTTCGCCTGAATCCACTCTGGTAGTTCGCCTGAATCCACTCTGGTAGTTCGCCTGAATCCACTCTGGTAGTTCGTGTGAATCCACTCTGGTAGTTTGTCTGAATCCACTCTGGTAGTTCGCCTGAATCCACTCTGGTAGTTCGCCTGAATCCACTCTGGTAGTTCGCCTGAATCCACTCTGGTAGTTCGCCTGAATCCACTCTGGTAGTTCGCCTGAATCCACTCTGGTAGTTCGCCTGAATCCACTCTGGTAGTTCGCCTGAATCCACTCTGGTAGTTCGTCTGAATCCACTCTGGTAGTTCGCCTGAATCCACTCTGGTAGTTCGCCTGAATCCACTCTGGTAGTTCGCCTGAATCCACTCTGGTAGTTCGTCTGAATCCACTCTGGTAGTTCGCCTGAATCCACTCTGGTAGTTCGCCTGAATCCACTCTGGTAGTTCGCCTGAATCCACTCTGGTAGTTCGCCTGAATCCACTCTGGTAGTTCGCCTGAATCCACTCTGGTAGTTCGCCTGAATCCACTCTGGTAGTTCGTCTGAATCCACTCTGGTAGTTTGTCTGAATCCACTCTGGTAGTTCGCCTGAATCCACTCTGGTAGTTCGCCTGAATCCACTCTGGTAGTTCACCTGAATCCACTCTGGTAGTTCGCCTGAATCCACTCTGGTAGTTCGCCTGAATCCACTCTGGTAGTTCGCCTGAATCCACTCTGGTAGTTCGTCTGAATCCACTCTGGTAGTTCGCCTGAATCCACTCTGGTAGTTCGTCTGAATCCACTCTGGTAGTTCGCCTGAATCCACTCTGGTAGTTCGTCTGAATCCACTCTGGTAGTTCGCCTGAATCCACTCTGGTAGTTCGCCTGAATCCACTCTGGTAGTTCGTCTGAATCCACTCTGGTAGTTCGTCTGAATCCACTCTGGTAGTTCGCCTGAATCCACTCTGGTAGTTCGCCTGAATCCACTCTGGTAGTTCGCCTGAATCCACTCTGGTAGTTCGCCTGAATCCACTCTGGTAGTTCGCCTGAATCCACTCTGGTAGTTCGCCTGAATCCACTCTGGTAGTTCGCCTGAATCCACTCTGGTAGTTCGCCTGAATCCACTCTGGTAGTTCGCCTGAATCCACTCTGGTAGTTCGCCTGAATCCACTCTGGTAGTTCGTCTGAATCCACTCTGGTAGTTCGTCTGAATCCACTCTGGTAGTTCGCCTGAATCCACTCTGGTAGTTCGCCTGAATCCACTCTGGTAGTTCGCCTGAATCCACTCTGGTAGTTCGCCTGAATCCACTCTGGTAGTTCGCCTGAATCCACTCTGGTAGTTCGCCTGAATCCACTCTGGTAGTTCGCCTGAATGCACTCTGGTAGTTCGCCTGAATCCACTCTGGTAGTTCGCCTGAATCCACTCTGTTAGTTCTCCTGAATCAACTCTGGTAGTTCGTCTGAATCCACTCTGGTAGTTCGTCTGAATCCACTCTGGTAGTTCGCCCGAATCCACTCTGGTAGTTCGTCTGAATCCACTCTGGTAGTTCGTCTGAATCCACTCTGGTAGTTCGCCTGAATCCACTCTGGTAGTTCGCCTGAATCCACTCTGGTAGTTCGCCTGAATCCACTCTGGTAGTTCGTCTGAATCCACTCTGGTAGTTCGTCTGAATCCACTCTGGTAGTTCGCCTGAATCCACTCTGGTAGTTCGCCAACAATCCTTTGCTTTCCATGTAAATTGTTAATCTGTTGTTTATCATTGTCTCCTTAGTTTTACACACGTTTGACGTCAGTGCTATCGGCCTGTACCTGTCTGTACCCGTCGGTACCCGTCTGTACCCGTTCGTACCCGTCTGTACCAGTCTGTACCTGTCTGTACCCGTCTGTACCTGTCTGTACCCGTCTGTACCCGTCTGTACCAGTCTGTACCTGTCTGTACCCGTCTGTACCCGTCTGTACCCGTCTGTACCTGTCTGTACCCGTCTGTACCCGTCTGTACCTGTCAGTACCCGTCTGTACCCGTCTGTACCAGTCTGTACCTGTCTGTACCCGTCTGTACCCGTCTGTACCAGTCTTTACCTGTCTGTACCCGTCTGTACCCGTCTGTACCAGTCTGTACCTGTCTGTACCCGTCTGTACCCGTCTGTACCAGTCTGTACCCGTCTGTAGCCGTCAGTACCCGTCTGTACCCGTCTGTTTTGTACAATCTTTCCCTGGTTTTTCTTATAGGTACCACCACTGCCTCTTTCCTCTTTCCGTGCCTGGGGCAGTTCTCCTGTTACCCTCCTCCCTCAGAGGGTCAATCATCATAAACTACCCACACCTCCTCCTCCCACACCTCCTCACCACCTCCTCCTCACACACCTCCTCCTCTACCAACTTCTCTCTCCTCTCTCCTCCCACACCTCCTCCTCTACCACCTTCTTTCTCCTCCTCACACCTCCTCCCACACCTCCTCCTCTACCACCTTCTCTCTCCTCCCTCCTCTCACACCTCCTCCTCTACCACCTTCTCTCCTCCTCCCTCCTCTCACACCTCCTCCTCCCACACCTCCTCCTCTACCACCTTCTCCTCTCTCCTCTCACACCTCCTCCTCTTCCACACCTCCTCCTCAACCAACTTCTCTCTCACACCTCCTCTCTCCTCCTCCTCCCACACCTCCTCCTCTACCACCTTCTCTCTCCTCTCCTCCTCTCACACCTCCTCCTCTCACACCTCCTCCTCTACCACCTTCTCTCTCCTCTCCACCTCTCACACCTCCTCCTCCCACACCTTCTCCTCTACCACCTTCTCTCTCCTCCCTCCTCTCACACCTCCTCCTCTACCCCACCTTCCTCTCCACCTCCCTCCTCCCACACCCCTCCCTCACACACCCTCCTCCTCTACCACCTCCTTCTCTCTTCTCCCCTCCTCTCACACCTCCTCCTCTCTCACCACCTTCGCTCTCCTCCCCTCCTTTCACACCTCCTCCTCTCACACCTCCTCCTCTACCACCTTCTCTCTCCTCCCTCCTCTCACACCTCCTCCTCTCCACCTCTCCTCCACCCCTTCTCTCCTCCTCCCCTCCTCTCTCACACACCTCCTCCTCTACCACCTTCTCTCTCCTCTCCTCCCTCCTTTCCCACACCTCCTCCTCTACCACCTTCTCTCTCCTCCCTCCTCTCACACCTCCTCCTCTACCACCTTTTCTCTCTCCTCCCTCCTTACACCTCCTCCTCCCACACCTCCTCCTCTACCACCTTCTATCTCCTCCCTCCTTTCACACCTCCTCCTCTCACACCTCCTCCTCTACCAACCTCTCTCTCCTCCCTCCCCTCACACCTCCTCCTCCCACACCTCCTCCTCTACCAACTTCTCTCTCCTCCCTCCTCACACCACCTCCTCCCCACACCTCCTCCTCGTACCTTGCCCACGCAGGAGTTCTGCACCTCCACATAGATGGAGTCAGACACCACCTCCTCCTCCCGAGTCCAGGGCAGGGAGTAGAAGGCCACGACCCGAAAGGAGGGCATCATGTCTGAGGAGACGAGGAGCTGGACCCCGACCACGGGCTGCGACCTCACAACCTCCCGACGCACACTCACGATCCGCCCTTTGTTCAGGACCTACACACACACATGTGAGGACCATGTGAGGACCATGGGAGGACCAGGGCCATGTGAGGACCATGTGAGGACCATGTGAGGACCATGGGAGGACCAGGGCCATGTGAGGACCAGGGGCATGTGAGGACCAGGACCATGTGAGGACCAGGACCATGTGAGTTACAGGACCATGTGAGGACCAGGGCAATGTGAGGACCAGGACCAAGTGAGGACCAGGACCATGAGAGGACCAGGACCATGTGAGGACCAGGACCAAGTGAGGACCAGGACCATGTGAGGACCAGGACCATGTGTGGAACATGTGAGGACCATGGGAGGAACAGGGTATGAACAGACCATGTGAGGACCAGGGTACGAACGAACCATGTGAGGTTCAGGGCACGCACGGACCATGTGAGGACCAGGGCTATGTGAGGACCGTGTGTGGACCATGTGAGGACCAGGGTACAAACGGACCATGTGAGGACCAGGGCAATGTGAGGACCAGGACCAAGTGAGGACCAGGACCATGAGAGGACCAGGACCATGTGAGGACCAGGATCAAGTGAGGACCAGGACCATGTGAGGACCAGGGCCATGTGTGGAACATGTGAGGACCATGGGAGGAACAGGGTATGAACAGACCATGTGAGGACCAGGGTGAGGAACGAACCATGTGAGGTTCAGGGCACGCACGGACCATGTGAGGACCAGGGCTATGTGAGGACCGTGTGTGGACCATGTGAGGACCAGGGTACAAACGGCCCATGTGAGGTTCAGGGCACGCACGGACCATGTGAGGAAGAGGGTACGAACAGACCATGTGAGGAACAGGGTATGAACGGACCATGTGAGGATCAGGGTATGTGAGGACCAGGACCATGTGAGGACCAGGGCCATGTGAGGACCAGGACCATGTGAGGACCAGGGTATGTGACGGACCATGTGAGGACCAAACAGACCAAGTGAGGACCAGGGTATGAACGGACCATGTGAGGACCAGGGTATGAACGGACCATGTGAGGACCAGGGTAGGAACGGACCATGTGAGGACCAGGGTATGAACGGACCATGTGAGGAACAGGGTATGAACGGACCATGTGAGGACCAGGGTATGAACGGACCATGTGAGGACCAGGGTATGAACGGACCATGTGAGGACCAGGGTATGAACGGACCATGTGAGGACCAGGGTAGGAACGGACCATGTGAGGACCAGGGTATGAACGGACCATGTGAGGACCAGGGTATGAACGGACCATGTGAGGAACAGGGTATGAACGGACCATGTGAGGACCAGGGTATGAACGGACCATGTGAGGACCAGGGTAGGAACGGACCATGTGAGGACCAGGGTAGGAACGGACCATGTGAGGACCAGGGTATGAACGGACCATGTGAGGACCAGGGTATGAACGGACCATGTGAGGACCAGGGTAGGAACACCAGTACAATCGACTGTATTTACCATGTAGGTGACGCTCTGGACGTGCCTCAGGTCCTGGGGCCTCTCCAGGCTCAGACTCAGGAGGAGGCGCAGACTCTCCCCCACGGCCACGCGCCTCCTCACTGCAGATATGTGGAGCAGGTTGAGGGGTTGCCCAGGCGGAAGGTAGGGGGCCACCTGGAGCTCCCGCCGGGCCTGCTGCTCCGCCCTCAGCCCGGGCTGCACGGTCTCCACCTGCAACACAGCCAGCACTCAGCCCTGTTCCCACCAGCCAGGCCAGACCAGGCCAGACCAGACCCAGCCAAGCTAGACCAGATCAGACCAGGCCAGGCCAGACCAGACCCAGCCAGGCCGGACCTTGATGTCACACTGTGATGATGTCACACTGTGGTGATGTCACACTGTGGTGATGTCACACTGTGGTGATGTCACAGACCGTGATGGTTTGCGGGGTCCTGGTGTTGGGCATGTTGATGCTGATGTGGGCGGAGCCTGCGGTGACCTCCAGTGGTGAGTCCAGGAACGTCAGCTTCACGGTGACGCTCTGGACCGGCGAGTCGTCATGGTGATGCACCAGCAACTGTTCAGGAGACGACACATGTGATACATGTGGGCTTGATAGTTAGCGCTAGCTCACTGCTAACCCACTAGCAGGACCAGAAAGAGACCAGTGAGAGACAAGAGAGAGACCAGAGAGAGACCAGAGAGAGACCAGAGAGAGACCAGAGAGAGACCAGTGAGAGACCAGAGAGAGACCAGAGAGAGACCAGTGAGAGACCAGAGAGAGACCAGAGAGAGACCAGAGAGAGACCAGTGAGAGACCAGAGAGAGACCAGAGAGAGACCAGAGAGAGAGACCAGTGAGAGACCAGAGAGAGACCAGAGAGAGACCAGTGAGAGACCAGAGAGAGACCAGGGGCAGGTCAGTGTGGTACCGTGAAGTCCAGGGGCATTCCTGGTTTGAAGTACTTGGGAGCGTCTTTGAACGACACGACAAACGGAGAGATGACGATGTGGACCCCGCCCTTCTCCACCTCCACCAGGTCTCCACCTGCAACACACAGAAACTCTCAGTCTCTAGATGTGCAAGACCAGAGAGAGAGAGACCAGAGAGAGAGACCAGAGAGAGAGACCAGAGAGAGAGACCAGAGAGAGAGACCAGAGAGAGAGACCAGAGAGAGAGACCAGAGAGAGAGAGACCAGAGAGAGACCAGAGAGAGAGACCAGAAAGAGAGAGACCAGAGAGAGAGGCCAGAGAGAGACCAGAGAGAGACCAGAGAGAGAGACCAGAAAGAGAGAGACCAGAGAGAGGCCAGAGAGAGAGAGACCAGAGAGAGACCAGAGAGAGAGACCAGAGAGAGAGAGACTAAAGAGAGACCAGAGAGAGAGAGACTAAAGAGAGACCAGAGAGAGAGAGACCAGAGAGAGAGAGACCAGAGAGAGAGACCAGAGAGAGAGAGACCAGAGAGAGACCAGAGAGAGACCAGAGAGAGAGACCAGAGAGAGAGACCAGAGAGAGAGAGACCAGAGAGAGACCAGAGAGAGAGACCAGAAAGAGAGAGACCAGAGAGAGAGGCCAGAGAGAGACCAGAGAGAGACCAGAGAGAGACCAGAAAGAGAGAGACCAGAGAGAGGCCAGAGAGAGAGAGACCAGAGAGAGACCAGAGAGAGAGACCAGAGAGAGAGAGACTAAAGAGAGACCAGAGAGAGAGAGACTAAAGAGAGACCAGAGAGAGAGAGACCAGAGAGAGAGAGACCAGAGAGAGACCAGAGAGAGAGACCAGAGAGAGACCAGAGAGAGACCAGAGAGAAAGAGACCAGAGAGAGAGAGACTAAAGAGAGACCAGAGAGAGACCAGAGAGAGAGAGACCAGAGAGAGAGAGACTAAAGAGAGACCAGAGAGAGAGAGACCAGAAAGAGACCAGAGAGAGAGAGACCAGAGAGAGAGACCATTCACAGATGTAAAGCTGGGGTCCAGATGCTGTCAATGCTGAGGTTTTTTTTTTGGACCAGTCTAGTGTAGCCGCTGTGGGCAGTTAACACATAGCCTGGTCTGGCCTGGTCTGGCCTGGTCTGGCCTGGTCTGTCCTGGTCTGATCTGGCCTGGTCTGGCGTGGTCTGACCTGATCTGGTCTGGCCTGGTCTGGTCTAGTCTGATCTGGTCTGGCCTGGTCTGGTCTGGTCTGGCCTGGCCTGACCTGGTCTGGTCTGGTTGTACCTGAGTGTGTGAGCACAGATGCTTTGGCGTAGAGAGACTTTCCCACTAAACTGCGGAGGTCTGGATACTCTGCTCTGATCTCGTCCGCAGTGAGAGAGACCCTCCCCCCGTCCAGCTGCAGAGAGAGAGAGAGTCAGGGAAGGAGAGAGTCCAGCTGCAGAGAGAGAGAGAGTCAGGGAAGGAGAGAGTCCAGCTGCAGAGAGAGAGAGAGTCAGGGAAGGAGAGAGTCCATCTGCAGAGAGAGAGAAAGTCAGGGAAGGAGAGAGTCCAGCTGCAGAGAGAGAGAGAGAGAGAGAGTCAGGGAAGGAGAGAGTCCAACTGCAGAGAAAGAGAATCAGGGAAGGAGAGAGTCCAGCTGCAGAGAGAGAGAGAGTCAGGGAAGGAGAGAGTCCAGCTGTAGAGAGAGAGAAAGTGAGGGAAGGAGAGAGTCCATCTGCAGAGAGAGAGAGAGTCAGGGAAGGAGAGAGTCCGACTGCAGAGAGAGAGAGAGAGTCAGGGAAGGAGAGAGTCCAGCTGCAGAGAGAGAGAGAGAGTCAGGGAAGGAGAGAGTCCAACTGCAGAGAGAGAGAGAGAGTCAGGGAAGGAGAGAGTCCAGCTGCAGAGAGAGAGAGAGAGTCAGGGAAGGAGAGAGTCCATCTGCAGAGAGAGAGAGAGAGTCAGGGAAGGAGAGAGTCCAACTGCAGAGAGAGAGAGAGAGTCAGGGAAGGAGAGAGTCCAGCTGCAGAGAGAGAGAGAGAGTCAGGGAAGGAGAGAGTCCAACTGCAGAGAGAGAGAGAGAGTCAGGGAAGGAGAGAGTCCAGCTGCAGAGAGAGAGAGAGTCAGGGAAGGAGAGAGTCCAGCTGCAGAGAGAGAGAGAGTCAGGGAAGGAGAGAGTCCATCTGCAGAGAGAGAGAAAGTCAGGGAAGGAGAGAGTCCATCTGCAGAGAGAGAGAGAGTCAGGGAAGGAGAGAGTCCAGCTGTAGAGAGAGAGAGAGAGTCAGGGAAGGAGAGAGTCCATCTGCAGAGAGAGAGAGAGTCAGGGAAGGAGAGAGTCCAGCTGCAGAGAGAGAGAGTCAGGGAAGGGAAGGAGAGAGTCCAGCTGCAGAGAGAGAGAGTCAGGGAAGGAGAGAGTCCAACTGCAGAGAGAGAGAGAGAGTCAGGGAAGGAGAGAGTCCATCTGCAGAGAGAGAGAGAGTCAGGGAAGGAGAGAGTCCAGCTGCAGAGAGAGAGAGTCAGGGAAGGAGAGAGTCCAGCTGCAGAGAGAGAGAGAGAGTCAGGGAAGGAGAGAGTCCAGCTGCAGAGAGAGAGAGAGTCAGGGAAGGAGAGAGTCCAGCTGCAGAGAGAGAGAGAGTCAGGGAAGGAGAGAGTCCAGCTGCAGAGAGAGAGAGAGTCAGGGAAGGGAAGGAGAGAGTCCAGCTGCAGAGAGAGAGAGTCAGGGAAGGAGAGAGTCCAACTGCAGAGAGAGAGAGAGAGTCAGGGAAGGAGAGAGTCCATCTGCAGAGAGAGAGAGAGTCAGGGAAGGAGAGAGTCCAGCTGCAGAGAGAGAGAGTCAGGGAAGGAGAGAGTCCAGCTGCAGAGAGAGAGAGAGAGTCAGGGAAGGAGAGAGTCCAGCTGCAGAGAGAGAGAGAGTCAGGGAAGGAGAGAGTCCAGCTGCAGAGAGAGAGAGAGTCAGGGAAGGAGAGAGTCCGACTGCAGAGAGAGAGAGAGAGTCAGGGAAGGAGAGAGTCCAGCTGCAGAGAGAGAGAGAGAGTCAGGGAAGGAGAGAGTCCAACTGCAGAGAGAGAGAGAGAGTCAGGGAAGGAGAGAGTCCAGCTGCAGAGAGAGAGAGAGAGTCAGGGAAGGAGAGAGTCCATCTGCAGAGAGAGAGAGAGAGTCAGGGAAGGAGAGAGTCCAACTGCAGAGAGAGAGAGAGTCAGGGAAGGAGAGAGTCCATCTGCAGAGAGAGAGAGAGAGTCAGGGAAGGAGAGAGTCCAGCTGCAGAGAGAGAGAGTCAGGGAAGGAGAGAGTCCAGCTGCAGAGAGAGAGAGAGTCAGGGAAGGAGAGAGTCCAGCTGCAGAGAGAGAGAGAGTCAGGGAAGGAGAGAGTCCGACTGCAGAGAGAGAGAGAGAGTCAGGGAAGGAGAGAGTCCAGCTGCAGAGAGAGAGAGAGAGTCAGGGAAGGAGAGAGTCCAACTGCAGAGAGAGAGAGAGAGTCAGGGAAGGAGAGAGTCCAGCTGCAGAGAGAGAGAGAGAGTCAGGGAAGGAGAGAGTCCATCTGCAGAGAGAGAGAGAGAGTCAGGGAAGGAGAGAGTCCAACTGCAGAGAGAGAGAGAGTCAGGGAAGGAGAGAGTCCATCTGCAGAGAGAGAGAGAGAGAGTCAGGGAAGGAGAGAGTCCAGCTGCAGAGAGAGAGAGTCAGGGAAGGAGAGAGTCCAGCTGCAGAGAGAGAGAGAGAGTCAGGGAAGGAGAGAGTCCAGCTGCAGAGAGAGAGAGAGTCAGGGAAGGAGAGAGTCCAGCTGCAGAGAGAGAGAGAGTCAGGGAAGGAGAGAGTCCATCTGCAGAGAGAGAGAAAGTCAGGGAAGGAGAGAGTCCATCTGCAGAGAGAGAGAGAGTCAGGGAAGGGGAGAGTCCAGCTGTAGAGAGAGAGAGAGTCAGGGAAGGAGAGAGTCCATCTGCAGAGAGAGAGAAAGTCAGGGAAGGAGAGAGTCCAGCTGCAGAGAGAGAGAGAGTCAGGGAAGGGAAGGAGAGAGTCCAGCTGCAGAGAGAGAGAGAGAGTCAGGGAAGGAGAGAGTCCAGCTGCAGAGAGAGAGAGAGTCAGGGAAGGAGAGAGTCCAGCTGCAGAGAGAGAGAGAGAGTCAGGGAAGGAGAGAGTCCATCTGCAGAGAGAGAGAGAGAGTCAGGGAAGGAGAGAGTCCAGCTGCAGAGAGAGAGAGAGAGTCAGGGAAGGAGAGAGTCCAGCTGCAGAGAGAGAGAGAGTCAGGGAAGGAGAGAGTCCAGCTGCAGAGAGAGAGAGAGAGTCAGGGAAGGAGAGAGTCCAACTGCAGAGAGAGAGAGAGAGTCAGGGAAGGAGAGAGTCCAGCTGCAGAGAGAGAGAGAGAGTCAGGGAAGGAGAGAGTCCAACTGCAGAGAGAGAGAGAGAGTCAGGGAAGGAGAGAGTCCAGCTGCAGAGAGAGAGAGTCAGGGAAGGAGAGAGTCCAGCTGCAGAGAGAGAGAGAGTCAGGGAAGGAGAGAGTCCAGCTGCAGAGAGAGAGAGAGAGAGAGTCAGGGAAGGAGAGAGTCCAACTGCAGAGAGAGAGAGAGAGTCAGGGAAGGAGAGAATCCAGCTGCAGAGAGAGAGAGAGAGAGTCAGGGAAGGAGAGAGTCCAGCTGCAGAGAGAGAGAGAGAGTCAGGGAAGGAGAGAGTCCAACTGCAGAGAGAGAGAGAGAGTCAGGGAAGGAGAGAGTCCAGCTGCAGAGAGAGAGAGAGTCAGGGAAGGAGAGAGTCCATCTGCAGAGAGAGAGAGAGTCAGGGAAGGAGAGAGTCCATCTGCAGAGAGAGAGAGAGTCAGGGAAGGAGAGAGTCCAGCTGCAGAGAGAGAGAGAGAGTCAGGGAAGGAGAGAGTCCAGCTGCAGAGAGAGAGAGAGAGAGTCAGGGAAGGAGAGAGTCCAGCTGCAGAGAGAGAGAGAGTCAGGGAAGGAGAGAGTCCATCTGCAGAGAGAGAGACAGTCAGGGAAGGAGAGAGTCCAGCTGCAGAGAGAGAGAGAGAGTCAAGGAAGGAGAGAGTCCAGCTGTAGAGAGAGAGAGAGTCAGGGAAGGAGAGAGTCCATCTGCAGAGAGAGAGAAAGTGAGGGAAGGAGAGAGTCCATCTGCAGAGAGAGAGAGTCAGGGAAGGAGAGAGTCCAGCTGCAGAGAGAGAGAGAGTCAGGGAAGGGAAGGAGAGAGTCCAGCTGCAGAGAGAGAGAGTCAGGGAAGGAGAGAGTCCAGCTGCAGAGAGAGAGAGAGAGTCAGGGAAGGAGAGAGTCCAACTGCAGAGAGAGAGAGTCAGGGACGGAGAGAGTCCAGCTGTAGAGAGAGAGAGAGAGTCAGGGAAGGAGAGAGTCCAGCTGCAGAGAGAGAGAGAGTCAGGGAAGGAGAGAGTCCAGCTGCAGAGAGAGAGAGAGAGTCAGGGAAGGAGAGAGTCCAGCTGCAGAGAGAGAGAGAGAGTCAGGGAAGGAGAGAGTCCAGCTGTAGAGAGAGAGAGAGAGTCAGGGAAGGAGAGAGTCCAGCTGCAGAGAGAGAGAGAGTCAGGGAAGGAGAGAGTCCAGCTGCAGAGAGAGAGAGAGTCAGGGAAGGAGAGAGTCCATCTGCAGAGAGAGAGAGAGAGAGAGAGAGAGAGAGTCAGGGAAGGAGAGAGTCCAGCTGCAGAGAGAGAGAGAGTCAGGGAAGGAGAGAGTCCAGCTGCAGAGAGAGAGAGAGTCAGGGAAGGAGAGAGTCCATCTGCAGAGAGAGAGAGAGAGAGAGAGAGAGAGAGAGAGTCAGGGAAGGAGAGAGTCCAGCTGTAGAGAGAGAGAGAGTCAGGGAAGGAGAGAGTCCAGCTGCAGAGAGAGAGAGAGTCAGGGAAGGAGAGAGTCCAGCTGCAGAGAGAGAGAGAGTCAGGGAAGGAGAGAGTCCGACTGCAGAGAGAGAGAGAGAGTCAGGGAAGGAGAGAGTCTTAGGTGTGTGTGTGTTGTGTAGGCGTGTTGTGTGCGTGTTGTGTGTGTGTTGTGTGCGTGTTGTGTGCGTGTTGTGTGCGTGTTGTGTAGGCGTGTTGTGTAGGCGTGTTGTGTAGGTGTGTTGTGTAGGCGTGTTGTGTAGGCGTGTTGTGTAGGCGTGTTGTGTGTGCGTGTTGTGTGTGTGTGTTGTGTAGGTGTGTTGTGTAGGTGTGTTGTGTAGGCGTGTTGTGTAGGCGTGTTGTGTAGGCGTGTTGTGTAGGCGTGTTGTGTAGGCGTGTTGTGTAGGCGTGTTGTGTAGGCGTGTTGTGTAGGCGTGTTGTGTAGGCATGTTGTGTAGGCGTGTTGTGTGCGTGTTGTGTGCGTGTTGTGTGTGCGTGTTGTGTAGGCGTGTTGTGTGCGTGTTGTGTGTGCGTGTTGTGTGCGTGTTGTGTGCGTGTTGTGTAGGCGTGTTGTGTAGGCGTGTTGTGTAGGCGTGTTGTGTGCGTGTTGTGTAGGCGTGTTGTGTGCGTGTTGTGTGCGTTGTGTAGGCGTGTTGTGTAGGCGTGTTGTGTGCGTGTTGTGTGCGTGTTGTGTAGGCGTGTTGTGTAGGCGTGTTGTGTAGGCGTGTTGTGTAGGCGTGTTGTGTGCGTGTTGTGTAGGCGTGTTGTGTAGGCGTGTTGTGTAGGCGTGTTGTGTGCGTGTTGTGTGCGTGTTGTGTGTGCGTGTTGTGTAGGCGTGTTGTGTGCGTGTTGTGTAGGCGTGTTGTGTGCGTGTTGTGTGCATGTTGTGTAGGCGTGTTGTGTAGGCGTGTTGTGTAGGCGTGTTGTGTAGACCCACGTCTGACAGCTGCTTCATTGGTCTCAGTCTGATCTTTTCTCTCTCGTGTTTCACTCCAAACATGACGTACGCTCTCCCCACGACAGGCTGTCCATACAGGAACCTGCACACACCATGTGAGAACCATGTGAGAACCATGTGAGAACCATACAGGAACCTGCACACACCATGTGAGAACCATGTGAGAACCATGTGAGAACCATACAGGAACCTGCACACACCATGTGAGAACCATGTGAGAACCATACAGGAACCTGCACACACCATGTGAGAACCATGTGAGAACCATACAGGAACCTGCACACACCATGTGAGAACCATGTGAGAACCATACAGGAACCTGCACACACCATGTGAGAACCATGTGAGAACCATACAGGAACCTGCACACACCATGTGTCAACAGACACCATGTGTCAACCATGTGAGAACCATACAGGAACCTGCAGACACCATGCGTCAACAGACACCATGTGTCAACCATGTGAGAACCATACAGGAACCTGCAGACACCATATGAGAACCATACAGGAACCTGCAGACTCCATGTGTTAACCATGTGAGAACCATACAGGAACCTGCAGACACCATGTGTCAACAGACACCATGTGTCAACCATGTGAGAACCATACAGGAACCTGCAGACACCATGTGTCAACCATGTGTGAACCATACAGGAACGTGCACACACCATGTGTCAACCATGTGAGAACCATACAGGAACCTGCAGACACCATGTGTCAACCATGTGAGAACCATACAGGAACCTGCAGACACCATGTGTCAACCATGTGTGAACCATACAGGAACGTGCAGACACCATGTACCTGTGCTCTGGTTCCTGTGCTCTGTGATCTGGTACCTGTGGTCTGGTACCTGTGATCTTTGATCTGGTACCTGTGCTCTGTGATCTTGTACCTGTGCTCTGGTACCTGTGATCTGTGATCTGGTACCTGTGCTCTGGTACCTGTGCTCTGTGATCTGGTACCTGTTCTCTGTGATCTGGCACCTGTGCTCTGTGATCTGGTACCTGTGATTTGTGATCTGGTACCTGTGCTCTGGTACCTGTGCTCTGTGATATGGTACCTGTGCTCTGGTACCTGTGCTCTGGTACCTGTGATCTGTGATCTGGTACCTGTGCTTTGTGATCTGGTACCTGTGCTCTGGTACCTGTGATCTGTGATCTGGTACCTGTGCTCTGGTACCTGTGCTCTGTGATCTGGTACCTGTGATCTGTGATCTGGTACCTGTGCTCTGTGATCTGGTACCTGTGATCTGGTACCTGTGCTCTGTGATCTGGTACCTGTGCTCTGTGATCTGGTACCTGTGATCTGTGATCTGGTACCTGTGCTCTGGTACCTGTGCTCTGTGATCTGGTACCTGTGCTCTGGTTCAGATTGAAACTGTGTGTGTTCCTCCCTTGAAGTCTAAAGCACTATATGAGGAAATCTGACCTGTGTGTGTGTGTGTGTGTGTGTGTGTGTGTGTGTGTGTGTGTGTGTGTGTGTGTGTGTGTGTGTGTGTGTGTGTGTGTGTGTGTGTGTGTGTGTGTGTGTGTGTGTGTGTGTGTGTGTGTGTGTGTGTGTGTGTGTGTGTCTGTGTCTGTGTGTGTGTGTGTGTGTGTGTGTGTGTCTGTGTGTCTGTGTGTGTGTGTGTGTGTGTGTGTGTGTGTGTGTGTGTGTGTGTGTGTGTGTCTGTGTGTGTGTGTGTGTGTGTGTCTGTGTCTGTGTGTGTGTGTGTGTGTGTCTGTGTCTGTGTGTGTGTGTCTGTGTCTGTGTGTGTGTGTGTGTGTGTGTCTGTGTCTGTGTGTGTGTGTGTGTGTGTGTGTGTGTGTGTGTGTGTGTGTGTGTGTGTGTGTGTGTGTGTGTGTGTGTGTAGGGTTGTTAAATGTGGTTTAATGAACGTCGCTCATAAACGAACTTATTATAGACAAGGACTTGGATTTGTTTGCGCTCCCTACCAGAAAGCCAGAACTACCATAAAGCCAGAACTACCAGAAAGCCAGAACTACCAGAAAGCCAGAACTACCAGAAAGCCAGAACTACCAGAAAGCCAGAACTACCAGAAAGCCAGAACTACCAGAAAGCCAGAACTACCAGAAAGCCAGAACTACCAGAAAGCCAGAGCTACAGGTCGCGGCGGTGGTGTTGCGATTATATCACACACCAACTTGGTTCTTAGTCCCAAAACCAACAATGCTTTTCACTCGTTTGAAAACTTAACACTTTCAATCACCTGTCCTGGGTGGAGAAAACAAAAAGCAGTACTATTTATAGTTTTATACCGACCTCCTGGTCCTTACAGCGAGTTCCTAACAGAATTCTCTGACTTCATTTCAAACCTAGTTTTGGGAAAACATAGTTATAACTGGAGACTTCAATATACATGTGGACGACAGCACTGACAGCTTAAACAAAGCTTTCAGCGCCGTACTAGATGGTGTTGGTTTTACTCAGAATGTCGAGGAACTCAACACCTGGTACAGTGTTCAACTCCACACTTTAAAACAGAAAACTATTAGGATTAGATCATCGTCGCCCTGGTACAGTGTTCAACTCCACACTTTAAAACAGGACGTCAGAAAATTGGAGAGGCTATATCGCCACTCCCACTCGGAGCCTGTCCACAGGGAGTGGAAAGCAGGTCTCCGAAACTACAAGAAGGCCCTTCGCGGGGCTCGAACTCAATACTATTCAACTTTAATAGAAGCGAAAAAAAACAACAGTAGATTTTTGTTTGGCACCGTCGCTAAACTCACAAACTGCCATAGCGCAATCGAGCCTAAAATTCCAAGCTCACTGAGCAGTGTCGACTTTCTCCACTTCTTTAATAATAAAATGACATCCATCCGTGACAAGCTGGAGGAGGTTGCTCCTGCTGTTGGTAGTGGACAGGCTGAAGCGGCATACGTGACTTCCCACTTAGACTCTTCAGTGGAGGAGGTTACTCCTGCTGTTGGTAGTGGACAGGCTGAAGCGGCATACGTGACTTCCCACTTAGACTCTTCAGTGAGCCTCGATAAATTCATGGCTGTGAGCCAAGCAGAGGTGATCTCTGTGGTCACATCCTCAAAAGCCTCAACTTGCATGTTAGACGCAGTCCCGACATGGCTCTTCAAAGACATACTTCCTTTGATAATTGAGCCTATCGTAAATATAATAAACGCATCCATACAATGTGGCTATGTCCCACAAGCTTTTAAAACCGCGGTAATCAAACCCCTTCTGAAGAAAACAAACCTGGACCCAGAAATACTTACAAACTACAGACCGATCTCAAACCTCACTTTTATATCTAAAATCCTGGAAAAACTTATAGCTGAGCAGCTTCACTGCCACCTGCAGGAAAATAATATGTTTGAAGTCTTTCAATCAGGATTCAGAGCTCATCATAGCACTGAAACGGCACTAGTCAAAGTCACAAATGACTTACTACTAGCTGCTGATAATGGACAAGTGTCAGTGCTGGTCCTACTGGACCTTAGTGCTGCATTTGACACAATAGACCACAGCATTCTACTGCAGAGGCTAGAATGTGATATAGGTCTGAGAGGAACAGCCCTTGGCTGGTTTAAATCCTATTTATCAGATCGATATCACTTCATCAACGTAAATCAGAACTCGTCGCCTTATTCTGGAGTAGAATTCGGTGTGCCGCAGGGTTCGGTACTCGGACCGATTCTTTTCACTCTCTACATGCTGCCGTTAGGAAACATTATTAAAAAGCATGGAATTAATTTCCACTGCTATGCAGATGACACACAGCTTTATCTGTCGATGAAGCCTAATCAGACAGATCAGCTAGAAAAGCTCAGTGCCTGCATAAAGGACCTTAAAATGTGGATGACTCTTAACTTCCTACTTCTCAACCCGGAGAAGACAGAAGTGATCCTACTCGGTCCGAAGCGCCTGCGTGACTCCCTCACTAACCAGATAATTACTCTGATAATGTCAGTATAATACCCAGTAACACTGTGAGGAATCTTGGAGTCATTTTTAACCAAGAACTCTCCTTCAAGGCTTATATAAGCCAAGCAACTAAAACGGCGTACTTCCACTTACGGAACATCGCTAAAATTAGGAATATTCTTCCTAAAAGTGACGCGGAAAAACTCATTCACGCGTTTGTCACCTCAAGGCTCGACTACTGTAACGCTTTACTGGCAGCGTGCCCTAAAGCCTCTTTGAAGAGCTTCCAGCTCGTTCAGAATACAGCAGCTAGGATCTTAACAGGTACCAAAAGGAGGGAGCACATAACTCCGGTGTTAAAATCACTCCACTGGCTCCTGTGGAGTACAGAATAAAGTTTAAAATCCTACTCTTAACATATAAAGCCATAAATGGCTTGGCTCCTTCTTATCTCCAAGACACGTTAGTGTCGTATCAACCAGGTCGAGCGTTGCGCTCACAAAACGCCAGACGTCTGGTGGTCCCTAAGGTCTCAAAGGTCACTGTTGGTGGCAGAGCATTTAGCTCCAAGCTCCTTTACTATGGAATCAGCTTCATTTATGTTAAGGAAGCAGATACGGTCTCCATATTCAAGGCCAGGCTTAAAGCACTCTACTTTCATTTAGCATATAATTAGGTAATATATAATATGTAGTGTATATATTATATATATATGCTGTATTATGTTATATATTATACAATATATGTATTATGTTTTGTATTGTGTTATGTTGTATATCATGTTATATATTATGCTGTATGTTATGTTGTGTATTATATATGATATATATGGTATGTATGGTATATATGATGTATATGATATATAATATATAATTAGGTTTGCCTGGATCGGTTTGGCACACCTGGTGTGTAAACCATGAATCTTGGTGCTGTAACCTAGCCTAGCCTAGCCGTGGCTGCTGCTGTCTCGCCTCCTTTCAGATACGCTCTCTTTATTCAAGGCTAGGTTTAAAACAGTCCTCTTTAGTTTAGCATATGGCTAGGAAGGTAAGACTCGGAGAAGGCTAAACTCCTCAGACTGTCAGTCAAGCTGCATAGGGAGTCAGTTTGCTGGGAGAAGTATGGTAACTGCACTATCCTCTCCTCCTTCCTACTTTATCTGTTTAGCATTATTAGGATTCTGACTGTAGTTTGTTCATTGCTATTCACCCGTTGTCCCATTGTCTGTTTCATGGTACGATGACGGGATCTCTGAGCCTGGCCTCTTCCATCTACACCTGCGGACTGCCCCGCCCGACCCGCCTGGGAGTGCTTCAGTCCTGCACCGGACCTGTCCACGTTCAGCGGCCACTGGTCCACGTTCTGTAGCTAGCTTAGGTCCTGTAGCTAGCTTAGGTCCTGTAGCTAGCTTAGGTCCTGTAGCTAGCTTAGGTCCTGGGTCATTAGCCTGTCCGTCCGGAGGAGCGGATCCCTTTCTCATATGGGTCCCCCTCCCTGTGGGTTTCCCTAGTTCTCCTCCAAGGTTTCTCACTTTTTCCCACTGGGTTTTTTAAGAGTTGTTCCTTGTCGATGCAGGAGGGTCTTGTTGGACAGTTAGTGTCCAACAGAAAGGATTGGTGATGATCAGGACACTTTAGCATTCTACAACATGTATGGACATTTTCTTCTGTGTGTGCTTTATATTCTTCATGTGTTTTAACTGTTGATTCTCTGACCTGTGTTGGTGATTTCAATGGTTTTGTTAAGTCTCTGAGACGATGCTGTTGTGACCTAGGGCTATACAACAATACATTCTATTGTACTGTATTCTCTCTGTGATCTGGTACCTGTGCTCTGTGATCTTGTACCTGTGATCTGGTACCTGTGCTCTGTGATCTGGTACCTGTGCTCTGTGATCTGGTACCTGTGCTCTGGTACCTGTGCTCTGTGATCTGGTACCTGTGCTCTGGTACCTGTGCTCTGGTACCTGTGCTCTGGTACCTGTGCTCTGGTACCTGTGCTCTGGTACCTGGCAGTGATGGTGAAGATCAGCTCTTTGTCGTCGACGCTAAAGTACGGTTTCTGTGGCGTTAAGGTCACGTTGAAGGCAGGAAGCACTGGAAGACAGAGACCTGGTTCAGACCTGGTTCAGACCTGGTCCAGACCTGGTCCAAACCCGGACCAGACCCGGTCCAGACCCGGTCCTGACTCACCGTATTTCTTCACTTCAAACGTCGAGTTAAACGTGTTCTGCTCCCAGTGGTTGAATCGCGCCGTCACCGTCCACAGGCCCTCACTGCAACAGGAGACACTGTCAATGCTAACATGCTATCAATGCTAACACACTGTCAATGCTAACATGCTGTCAATGCTAACATGCTGTCAATGCTAACACACTGTCAATGCTAACACACTGTCAATGCTAACATGCTAGCTCAATGCTAACACACTGTCAATGCTAACACACTGTCAATGCTAACATGCTGTCAATGCTAACATGCTGTCAATGCTAACACACTGTCAATGCTAACATGCTAGCTCAATGCTAACATGCTAGCTCAATGTTAACATGCTGTCAATGCTAACGGGCTGTCAATGCTAACACACTGTCAATGCTAACCAAGCCCCGGCGATCCAAGATGGCGCCCTATTCAAATGAATGGTTGTGCTCAGTGGTGCTTTGTGACGGCATGGGGGCTGAAAGATTAGCGGAAGTTGCCTGAAACTCTCAAAGATCTATGGGAAACTCTCAAAGATCTATGGGAAACTCTCAAAGATCTATGGGAAACTCTCAAAGATCTATGGGAAACTCTCAAAGATCTATGGGAAACTCTCAAAGATCTATGGGAAACTCTCAAAGATCTATGGGAAACTCTCAAAGATCTATGGGAAACTCTCAAAGATCTATGGGAAACTCTCAAAGATCTATGAGAAACTCTCAAAGGTCTATGAAACTCTCAAAGATCTATGAGAAACTCTCAAAGATCTATGGGAAACTCTCAAAGATCTATGAGAAACTCTCAAAGATCTATGGGAAACTCTCAAAGATCTATGGGAAACTCTCAAAGATCTATGGAAACTCTCAAAGATCTATGGAAACTCTCAAAGATCTATGAGAAACTCTCAAAGATCTATGGGAAACTCTCAAAGATCTATGGGAAACTCTCAAAGATCTATGGGAAACTCTCAAAGATCTATGGGAAACTCTCAAAGATCTATGGGAAACTCTCAAAGATCTATGGGAAACTCTCAAAGATCTATGAAACTCTCAAAGATCTATGAAACTCTCAAAGATCTATGGGAAACTCTCAAAGATCTATGGGAAACTCTCAAAGATCTATGAAACTCTCAAAGATCTATGGGAAACTCTCAAAGATCTATGGGAAACTCTCAAAGATCTATGGGAAACTCTCAAAGATCTATGGGAAACTCTCAAAGATCTATGGAAACTCTCAAAGATCTATGGAAACTCTCAAAGATCTATGGAAACTCTCAAAGATCCATGAGAAACTCTCAAAGATCTATGGGAAACTCTCAAAGATCTATGGGAAACTCTCAAAGATCTATGGGAAACTCTCAAAGATCTATGGGAAACTCTCAAAGATCTATGGAAAACTCTCAAAGATCTATGAAACTCTCAAAGATCTATGGGAAACTCTCAAAGATCTATGGGAAACTCTCAAAGATCTATGAAACTCTCAAAGATCTATGGGAAACTCTCAAAGATCTATGAGAAACTCTCAACGATCTATGGAAACTCTCAAAGATCTATGGAAACTCTCAAAGATCTATGAAACTCTCAAAGATCTATGGAAACTCTCAAAGATCTATGGAAACTCTCAAAGATCTATGGGAAACTCTCAAAGATCTATGGAAACTCTCAAAGATCTATGGGAAACTCTCAAAGATCTATGGGAAACTCTCAAAGATCTATGGGAAACTCTCAAAGATCTATGAGAAACTCTCAAAGATCTATGGGAAACTCTCAAAGATCTATGGAAACTCTCAAAGATCTATGGGAAACTCTCAAAGATCTATGGAAACTCTCAAAGATCTATGGAAACTCTCAAAGATCTATGGGAAACTCTCAAAGATCTATGAGAAACTCTTAAAGATCTATGAGAAACTCTCAAAGATCTATGGGAAACTCTCAAAGATCTATGAGAAACTCTTAAAGATCTATGAGAAACTCTCAAAGATCTATGAGAAACTCTCAAAGATCTATGGGAAACTCTCAAAGATCTATGGGAAACTCTCAAAGATCTATGAGAAACTCTTAAAGATCTATGGGAAACTCTCAAAGATCTATGAAACTCTCAAAGATCTATGGGAAACTCTCAAAGATCTATGAGAAACTCTTAAAGATCTATGGGAAACTCTCAAAGATCTATGGGAAACTCAAAGATCTATGGAAACTCTCAAAGATCTATGGAAACTCTCAAAGATCTATGGAAACTCTCAAAGATCTATGAAACTCTCAAAGATCTATGGGAAACTCTCAAAGATCTATGGGAAACTCTCAAAGATCTATGAAACTCTCAAAGATCTATGAGAAACTCTCAAAGATCTATGGGAAACTCTCAAAGATCTATGGGAAACTCTCAAAGATCTATGGGAAACTCTCAAAGATCTATGGGAAACTCTCAAAGATCTATGGGAAACTCTCAAAGATCTATGGGAAACTCTCAAAGATCTATGAGAAACTCTCAAAGGTCTATGAAACTCTCAAAGATCTATGAGAAACTCTCAAAGATCTATGGGAAACTCTCAAAGATCTATGAGAAACTCTCAAAGATCTATGGGAAACTCTCAAAGATCTATGGGAAACTCTCAAAGATCTATGGAAACTCTCAAAGATCTATGGGAAACTCTCAAAGATCTATGAGAAACTCTCAAAGATCTATGGGAAACTCTCAAAGATCTATGGGAAACTCTCAAAGATCTATGGGAAACTCTCAAAGATCTATGGGAAACTCTCAAAGATCTATGGGAAACTCTCAAAGATCTATGGGAAACTCTCAAAGATCTATGAAACTCTCAAAGATCTATGAAACTCTCAAAGATCTATGGGAAACTCTCAAAGATCTATGGGAAACTCTCAAAGATCTATGAAACTCTCAAAGATCTATGGGAAACTCTCAAAGATCTATGGGAAACTCTCAAAGATCTATGGGAAACTCTCAAAGATCTATGGGAAACTCTCAAAGATCTATGGGAAACTCTCAAAGATCTATGGAAACTCTCAAAGATCTATGGAAACTCTCAAAGATCCATGAGAAACTCTCAAAGATCTATGGGAAACTCTCAAAGATCTATGGGAAACTCTCAAAGATCTATGGGAAACTCTCAAAGATCTATGGAAACTCTCAAAGATCTATGGAAACTCTCAAAGATCTATGAAACTCTCAAAGATCTATGGGAAACTCTCAAAGATCTATGGGAAACTTCTCAAAGATCTATGAAACTCTCAAAGATCTATGGGAAACTCTCAAAGATCTATGAGAAACTCTCAAAGATCTATGGAAACTCTCAAAGATCTATGGAAACTCTCAAAGATCTATGAAACTCTCAAAGATCTATGGAAACTCTCAAAGATCTATGGAAACTCTCAAAGTGTGTATGTGCGTGTGCATGTGTGTATTACCTGTGTGTATGTGCGTGTGCGTGTGCATGTGTGTGTGTGTTAAACTCTACGTGTGTGTGTGTGCGTGTGCATGTGTGTTACCTGTGTGTATGTGCGTGTGTGTTACCTGTGTGTATGTGCGTGTGCATGTGTGTGTGTGTGCGTGTGCATGTGTGTTACCTGTGTGTATGTGCGTGTGTTACCTGTGTGTGCGTGTGCATGTGTGTGTGTGCGTGTGCATGTGTGTTACCTGTGTGTGTGTGTGTGTTACCTGTGTGTGTGTGTGTGTTACCTGTGTGTGTGTGTGTGTTACCTGTGTGTGTGTGTGTGTTACCTGTGTGTGTGTGTGTGTTACCTGTGTGTGTGTGCGTGTGCATGTGTGTTACCTGTGTGTATGTGCGTGTGTTACCTGTGTGTGCGTGTGCATGTGTGTGTGTGCGTGTGCATGTGTGTTACCTGTGTGTATGTGCGTGTGTGTTACCTGTGTGTGTGTGTGTGTTACCTGTGTGTGTGTGTGCGTGTGTTACCTGTGTGCGTGTGTGTGTGCATGTGTGTTACCTGTGTGTGTGTGCGTGTGCATGTGTGTTACCTGTGTGTGTGTGCGTGTGCATGTGTGTTACCAGTGAGAGCCTGTTCGTTGGTGACATCACACTGGATGAAAATGGATCGATCGGCTCCAAACTCTGAGTCCAGCTCCGACTTACACTGCTGCCCAAAGAAGGCATCCAGGTCCAGGACTGCCACCTGCAGAGAGGCTAGGGTTAGCTACTGATGCTAATGATGCTAATGATGCTAATGCTACTGCTGCCCACAGGTCCAGGACTGCCACCTGCAGAGAGGCTAGGGTTAGCTACTGATGCTAATGATGCTAATGATGCTAATGCTACTGCTGCCCACAGGTCCACGACTGCCACCTGCAGAGAGGCTAGGGTTAGCTACTGATGCTAATGATGCTAATGATGCTAATGCTACTGCTGCCCACAGGTCCAGGACTGCCACCTGCAGAGAGGCTAGGGTTAGCTACTGATGCTAATGATGCTAATGCTACCGCTGCCCACAGGTCCAGGACTGCCACCTGCAGAGAGGTCAGCACTAGATCATCTACGGAATTTGGACGGAAGTGGAAGTAAATATGACAAACTATCTATTCATGCCTAACCTTAACCATCTTACTCAGACCACCTTAACCCTAACCTTAACCATCTTACTCAGACCACCTTAACTCTAACCTTAACCATCTTACTCAGACCACCTTAACCCTAACCTTAACCATCTTACTCAGACCACCTTAACCCTAGCCTTAACCATCTTACTCAGACCACCTTAACCCTAACCTTAACCATCTTACTCAGACCACCTTAACTCTAACCTTAACCATCTTACTCAGACCACCTTAACCTTAACCATCTTACTCAGACCACCTTAACCCTAACCTTAACCATCTTACTCAGACCACCTTAACCCTAACCTTAACCATCTTACTCAGACCACCTTAACCCTGACCTTAACCATCTTACTCAGACCACCTTAACCCTAACCTTAACCATCTTACTCAGACCACCTTAACCCTAACCTTAACCATCTTACTCAGACCACCTTAACCTAACCTAACCATCTTACTCAGACCACCTTAACCCTAACCTTAACCATCTTACTCAGACCACCTTAACCCTAACCTTAACCATCTTACTCAGACCACCTTAACCCTAACCTTAACCATCTTACTCAGACCACCTTAACCCTAACCTTAACCATCTTACTCAGACCACCTTAACCCTGACCTTAACCATCTTACTCAGACCACCTTAACCCTAACCTTAACCATCTTACTCAGACCACCTTAACCCTAACCTTAACCATCTTACTCAGACCACCTTAACCCTAACCTTAACCATCTTACTCAGACCACCTTAACCCTACCTTAACCATCTTACTCAGACCACCTTAACCCTAACCTTAACCATCTTACTCAGACCACCTTAACCCTAACCTTAACCATCTTACTCAGACCACCTTAACCCTAACCTTAACCATCTTACTAAGACCACCTTAACCCTAACCCTAACCATCTTACTCAGACCACCTTAACCCTAACCTTAACCATCTTACTCAGACCCACCTTAACCCTAACCTTAACCATCTTACTCAGACCACCTTAACCCTAACCTTAACCATCTTACTCAGACCACCTTAACCCTAACCTTAACCATCTTACTCAGACCCACCTTAACTCTAACCTTAAAGACCTTATCCCGGGTTTTTAAATAAAAAATTGTGGATATCAAAATTGCATGACAATGTCAATCTGAAATAGATTCCGGCAAAAAAAGAACGTGTTTTTCATGAATTTAAGTTGTCTATGCTCTAACCTGTGTGTGACGTCACAGCGGGTTACGCCCATGCATTGAAAACCATGGATCTATGCCACAGGACTGCCTTTTCTCTCTTCTCTCCACTGATGCCCAACACAATACTGCCCTCTACAGGTGACAATTGCTCACTACACATAAATTGCTGTTTTGAGAGTGAAAAAGTGTCCGAGGTGGGATTTGAACCCGAGTATCTGGATTGGCAGTCCATCGACACAACCACTGGACTATCTCAGTGACAATGAAGAGTTATAATCTAGTAGTTACCTCATACTCGCTGTACACGGCCTTGTCATCTTGAATATCCGCAAAAAAAGAACGAATACCAAATTGTAAACAACTTACAGCGTTGAAACGTACCCACTCTGACGTCACCAAGGGCTGTGAAGTTTTTTCGTTTCTAAGGGCGTTGCTATGGGGTTATTTCGATTTGGGGGGATCAGACAAAAAAAACAACAACTGATTTTGAAACCTTTAGTAGTTCTCTTCTAATATAAAATGGTATTAAAACTGTATTTCTAAATAAATCAAACCCGGCATAAGGTCTTTAACCATCTTACTCAGACGCCTAAACTTAACCAGTCACCGCTTAAGGACGTATTAAACTTTTTGATAAGCGCAAACTGAACTTCTGGACAAATCCGGTTTCCGGGACGAATACGGGAGTGACACTAATGCTAATGATAGGGCTAATGATAATGCTAATGCTAATGCTAATGATAAACAGTATGGGTCCATGGATCGACCCCTGTGGAACCCCGTAGACTGTAGAAGTGGACTGACCAGGACTAAACCCTGACCTCTGGTGTGTTCCTGGTCCTCTGCAGTAAACAGGCTCTGGTCTACAACTGTGTGGGCTGTGGATCCTTTCACCTGCAGAGAATGGGGCGAGTGACCAGCACCGGGACCAGGTGAGTCCAGTCCACCTGGTTTTATCTGCTTCAGGTTCTTTACAATCGTGAGAAGATGGTGTTCATTTTTCTCTCTCTGGTCTCTCTCTTTGGTCTCTCTCTTTGGTCTCTCTCTGGTCTCTCTCTCTGGTCTCTCTCTGGTCTATCTCTGGTCTATCTCTGGTCTCTCTCTTTGGTCTCTCTCTCTGGTCTCTCCCTTTGGTCTCTCTCTGGTCTCTCTCTGGTCTCTCTCTCTTTGGTCTCTCTCTCTGGGCTCTCTCTGGTCTCTCTCTTTGGTCTCTCTCTTTGGTCTCTCTCTTTGGTCTCTCGCTCTGGTCTCTCTCTGGTCTCTCTCTGGTCTCTCTCTGGTCTCTCTCTGGTCTCTCTCTGGTCTCTCTCTGGTCTCTCTCTCTGGTCTCTCTCTGGTCTCTCTCTCTGGTCTCCCTCTGGTCTGTGTTTCAGTAAGAAGTACTCAGCAGCCTCAGGTCCTCCAGTGGGACCAGAGTGTGAGACCTGTGGACTCCGGCACCAGGTGAGAACCATCAGCACCACCCTCTGCAGCTCATTAACATCAGCACCACCCTCTGCAGCTCATTAACATCAGCACCACCCTCTGCAGCTCATTAACATCAGCACCACCCTCTGCAGCTCATTAACATCAGCACCACCCTCTGCAGCTCATTAACATCAGCACCACCCTCTGCAGCTCATTAACATCAGCACCACCCTCTGCAGCTCATTAACATCAGCACCACCCTCTGCAGCTCATTAACATCAGCACCACCCTCTGCAGCTCATTAACATCAGCACCACCCTCTGCAGCTCATTAACATCAGCACCACCCTCTGCAGCTCATTAACATCAGCACCACCCTCTGCAGCTCATTAACATCAGCACCACCCTCTGCAGCTCATTAACATCAGCACCACCCTCTGCAGCAGGAGGGAGGAGCAGGGGGGAGGAGGAGCAGGGGAGAGGAGCAGGGGGGAGGAGCAGGGGGGAGGAGCAGGAGGGAGGAGGAGCAGGGGGAGGAGCAGGGGGGAGGAGCAGGAGGGAGGAGCAGGGAGGAGGAGCAGGGAGGAGGAGCAGGGAGGAGGAGCAGGAGGGAGGAGCAGGAGGGAGGAGCAGGGAGGAGGAGCAGAGGGGAGGAGCAGGAGGGAGGAGCAGGAGGGAGGAGCAGGAGGGAGGAGCAGGAGGGAGGAGCAGAGGGGAGGAGCAGGAGGGAGGAGCAGAGGGGAGGAGCAGGAGGCAGGAGCAGGGGGGAGGAGCAGGGGGCAGGAGCAGAGGGGAGGAGCAGAGGGGAGGAGCAGGAGGAGGAGCAGGAGGGAGGAGCAGGGGGGAGGAGCAGGAGGGAGGAGCAGGGAGGAGGAGCAGGAGGCAGGAGCAGGAGGGAGGAGCAGGGAGGAGGAGCAGGGAGGAGGAGCAGAGGGGAGGAGCAGGAGGGAGGAGCAGGAGGGAGGAGCAGGAGCAGGGAGCAGGAGGGAGGAGCAGAGGGGAGGAGCAGGAGGGGAGGAGCAGGAGGGAGGAGCAGAGGGGAGGAGCAGGAGGGAGGAGCAGAGGGGAGGAGCAGGAGGGAGGAGGAGAGGTCTTGAGAATTGTCTTAACTTCTCTTTGAATGATTTGAATGTGTTAATCTTTTATCTCTCCTCGAGAAAGGACCAGAGCACATTTTCCTTTTGGATCCATAAAGTATCTCTCATGGACACGCCTCCTCTCTCCTCCTCCCCCTCCTCCCCCTCTCCTCCTCCCCCTCTCCTCCTCTCCCCCTCTCCTCCTCCCCCTCTCCCCCCTCAGCTCGGAGGTCCCATCTGGTCCGACCGTCTCCACACTCAGGAGTTTGTGCAGAGGGTTCTCTCCTCCGTGAAGCAGAACCCATCCAGGTTTGGGACGTCCCGCCGCATCCAAGGGGTCCTGAGTGTGGTGTCTGAGGTAAGACCAGAACGAGACCAGAGCGAGACCAGAGCGAGAGACCAGAGCGAGAGACCAGAGCGAGAGACCAGAGCG